GCTTAGGGCGAATCTTCCTTGGCAAAAAAGAAAAAAAAAATGTCCTGGGGTCACTCTCCTTTTCCTGACCCGAGGTGTGGGCAAGTTAACGCTTGGGGCATGTGGTGACCCTACTAGAGGGGGCAGCTGTTATTCTTACTGTTACATGTTAATTTTATAAGAAAAAATAAACTTAAAAGACACACATCCAGTTGCCTGGGCCCCACCGAAGACTCGCCGAACCAGAGCCCCTTAAAAGGGGGCTTGTCCAGGGGACGCCACCGTTTGGTGGAGGTGCTGTGGGGCTGAGAGCCCCAGAGGACCCCAGAATCAGCGGTGGGGGAAACGGAGGCCTGGGGTGGGTGCAGAGGGGACAGCTCGAGCTCGGGGCTGAGTGGACGGGGTCAGGCCCGGTCTGCCTCTCACAGGCGGGGTGACCTTGGGGAGCCCGGACACACAGGCCCTGACACGCTTTTCTGGGAGGGCATGAGGATCCCATGAGGAGCTGTGTGGATGTCCAGGTGGGGCCGCCTCCATCTGGGGCTGAGGACACCGGGAGTGGACACCAGGGGGGACCCGAGACGGCGGGAGGGGAAAGAGCTGCCCAGGTCTTCGGGGTGGCGGTCTGGACTTTGCTGGGAGCTGTGCCAGCTGGGCTGGCACCCTCACAGCCTTGGCGGGACACTGGAGCTGTGCCCTCACCGGCTCCAGCACCCAGCATATGCCGTGGGGCCCCTCCCCGAGCCCCCCGCACCCCGGCAGCTCCTGCCCACCTGGCGTGCATGCGGGGTCCCACCTGGATGGCCCTGTGTTGGCTGCCAGCCGGGCAATGAGGTCGTGCGAGAGCCGCCAGGGTCCGAGCATCATGGTGGGTCTTGGGGGCCAGGGAGTAGCCCCAGCTGGCTCAGGGCCTTGAGAGGGGACAGGGCAGGAAGCCAGCACCCGGAGAGCAAGGCTGCCCCTGTAGCGGCTTGTACGCTGTTTGCCATCACGCTGGACAGGCTGGGCCCCAGCATGGGCTGGTCAGGGCCCCCACATGGCTTGGGGTGCAGAGGAGGGACAGGCTAATAATAATAGCTAATAGCTGCTGCCGTAATGGCGGGACTGTGGTGGGTGCCAGCCCCCACCGGCCTCGTCCCCACTCTGCCTCCTTTGATCCATCCGCCCCCCAGGGAGGGGGGGATCGGTGCACCCCCTTTAGAGGCGAGGAGCCGGGCTCAGAGGAACAGCGACTTGTTCCGGGAGGGACAGACTCCAGCTCCTGCATGGCCTGCGCCGTGGGTTGACCTGCCCTGCCGTCCTCGCCCGGCCGGCCCCGAGGAGGGTGAGCGCCCAGGATGCGCTGTGTGTGCCCCCCCAGCCCCGAGGTCTGCTCGTCCTGGAGCTGGGGCAGCCACACCCCTCTGGACCTGCCCCCTCCAGCCCCTGAGTGGGGAGACTTTCAGACGGCTCCTCTGGGAGGGCTGCCTGGTGGTGACCTCCACCTCGTGTCCCTGTCTCGCGTCCAGCGAATGCGTGGCCCGCCTTCTGAAGGCCCCATCCAGCACCGAGCCCCTGCAAACAGGTGGGCCAGGGAGCAAGATGATCCCAGAGTGGGGTGACGTCCCTTCTGGAGGAACTAAATGGGGGGGTGTGAAACAGCTTTAGTGGGGGGCACTTCCTGAGGAAGTGAGCTTGGAGCTGAGTCCCCAGGAGGGACAGAGGGGTGTTCCAGGCTGGGTGCTCGGCTCAGAGCCCAGGCGCCCTGGGCGTGGGAGGAAGGCGGAGGAGGCAGGTGTGGTGGGGCCGGCAGGGGTGGGAGGGGCGACCAGCTCAGGTGAGACCAATGAAGCACCTGTCGGGGAAGCTGCTGACGGGTTCTAGGTGGAGAGACGGTGCACGCTAGAGACCCGCTCTGCTGCCGGGCGGAGCCCTCGCTGGCTCCCTGCTGCCCTCGCAGCACAGCCAGTCCACACTCGCCAGCCGCCCGGCCGACCCCGCTTCCCGCTTCCCGATTCCCCTGCAGGCGGCCTGCTCAACCAGAGGCCCTGCGCGCCCTCTGCCAGGCCTTTGCGCTCTGTTCCCTGACCACAGATGCTGTTCCTCACCATCTCCACACCGCCTCTGCTGTTCCTAGAGGTCTCGTCATTTTCTGCTTTCTGGGGTGGGGGCAGCCTGCAGAGCTGGGCCCAGCCACGAGTTGCTCCATAAACCTTTTCCGAATTTGACTGTGTACTGGCGTGTGCACACTGGAAAGGGGCTTGCTGTTGCTCCATTTACAGAGGAGTAGTGGGCTCAGAGAGGCAAAGTGACTTCCCCAGGTCACACAGCCAGAGGGCAATGAAGCCAGGACTCAAACAAGATTCAAGAAAGACTCACGATGGGCCAGCCCAGTGGCGCAGCGGTTAAGTTCGCACGTTCCACTTCTCTGTGGCCCAGGGTTCGCAGTTTTGGATCCTGGGTGCGGACACGGCACTGCTTGGCAGCCATCCTGTGGTAGGCGTCCCACATAGAAAGTAGAGGAAGATGGGCACAGAGGTTAGCTCAGGGCCAGTCTTCCTCAGCAAAAAGAGGAGGATTGGCAGCAGTTAGCTCAGGCCTAATCTTCCTCAACAAAAAAAGGAAGACTCACGAGATCCCTACTGCACACGTGTGGTCCCACTGTGTGCAGCCCTGGTGGTGGCCCAGAACCCAGCATGGGATGTGGGGCCTGGGAGAGCAGTGGGGAAGCCCCTCCCCACTGCAGCCTCCGTCCTGCTGGCTTGCGATGCCATGACTGCTGCCTCTTCGGGAAGGAGAGCGCACGTTGATGACTACCAGGGGCTTTGAAACCCTGCAGACCCACGTGCCCCTGCAGAGACACACCCGCACTCGCTGTGTGCCCTTGGCAGATCACTGCCCCTCTCTGTGCCCATAAAACAGGTCTGCCGCAGCATCCCTTCGCGGGGTTCCTGTGAGAATAGCAGGAGCGATGACTGTCGCGTGCCCAGAGCAGAGCTGCCAGCAGCGAGCCTTCAGTCCCCTGAGTGAGGGGCGGCCCCAGGCCAGCGTGGTGGCCTCTCTTCCTCTGCCAGGGGAGGTCCCAGGCACCAGCGGGCGTGTGTGTGTCCGGGGGGGAGTGTGTCCACCAGCCCATATCTTGGGCACTCTCGGTCGCCCGCGGTCGCTCCTCCCCAACGGCGCCGGTCTCACCAGACGAGCCGGAGTGAGACGCGCTGCAGCCCGGCCCTGGCAGCACCCTCCACCATCCCTGGCGGGTTTCTCCTTCTCTGCTTGTCCAACGAAGCCCCACTGTGGAAGGGCTTTGAAAAGTCAGAACAGGCCTGTGTCCTCGGCGTCCTGGCCTGGCATCCGAGACACCCTCCCCGGCTGCGTGTGGGACCGCCTGCCCCAGGGCGTCCTGGTCGGGTGAAGGGCTGGCGAGGACAGGCCTGCGCCCCACAGGGGTGGCCCGGGGCCCACGGTGGCGGCCACGTTTGCCTTCTTTGGTTGTCACCGGGGACTGGCCGCCGGCCCTGCAGCCAGACACGGCGTTGACAGGCCCGCACAGCTGCGGCACACGTGTGCCCGGCCATCAGCCTCCTGACGGGCAGGCCGGGCGGCTGGGGGGGCCGGGCGGCGGCTGCAGCTGAGCGGACAGCAGGTGCCTCGGCCGGGGAGGCTGCTGACTACCGGCTCCCGCCCCTTCCACGGGGCCTGGGGGGCTTCTCTGCTCTCACCCCACGGGCCCTGGAGTGCAGAGGCTGTCAGAGCCCCACCCCAGACGATGGGCACCCCCACTATGACCAAGAGATGGGGGCCGGGAGGGGAAGTTTGCACAGCATGGGGCACTAGATACGCAAATGCCATTTGTTGGGTGAGGCCCTGTCGGTGTCAGCAGGACAAGCTGGGGGCAGCGTGGGCTGGGCCTCTGTTGGGAACAGGTACAGGATGCCCACCCGACCACCCCGAGCAGCTGGGCCACCCAAAACCCTAGCTGCCGCTCCCAGGTCTTTGCCGCCTGCCCAGGCGCTGACTGACCCTGAGTCAAGACAGAGGGGGCCAGGGGCTCGCCTCTCCACCTGTGAAGAGTGCCCGGCAGCTGTGGCCCAGGGCTTGTGCAGCCGGTCAGATGCGCCAGGGCCTTTTCCTCAGGATCCTGCTTGCTGGGGGCCAGGGCTCAGGGCCTCCCCGGCCTTGGTCTCTTCTGGCCGTCTCTACTCCCTCTCCGCACACCTGACCCTTAGCAGAGCGGCAGACCCCATGGGACTCGACCAGTGTCCGGGGGCCGACCCGCTGGACTGTGGACCACACTTTGAGCGGCCAGGCCCAGAACAGCCTGCCGTTGACCGTGTCCTCGGCCTGGCTGCTCGAAGGCATCACCTGGGCCAGGAGATGGCTAACCGAGGCCCCGCTGCCCCAGAGGGCCTGCCTCAAGTCTCTCCTGGGAAGACCCCGAGACCAGCCCGTCAGCCTCGGAGAGCTGGCAGGGCGCCAAGAACCATGGTTCCTCCGAGTGGGCCCCCAGCCTGCTGCTGCAACCTCACCTGTTAGAGACCCTGTTAGAAACGCCAATTCTCGGGCCCACCCGGACCTGCTGAACCGGAAGTGGGGTGCGGAGGCTGCACCTGTGTCTGAACACGCCCTCGGGAGCTGCCAATGCAGGCAGAGCCCTCGACCCCTGCCTGGGGGGTGCCGCCCAACTCCCTAGTCAGCAAGAGAGGAAACTCAAGCCCCCCAGACCTCTCCCCCAGGGAGGCCCCGGGCCCCTTCTGGCCAGCCCAGGTCCTCACAGCTACACCCTCTGGCCCACCCGAAATGGGCTGACCGGAGCCCGCCCTCTGGTCCCAGGTGGGTGGGATGTTGGCCACCTGTGAGCACACCTGGGGCTGATCTGATCTGGAAGGCTGCGCCCTGGGACTGGGGCTGGCTCTGTGGGCACAGGCCCAAACCCAGCTGCTGGGGGCCCTTGGCTGGGGACCAGCTGGGGCTGGGGTGGCCACTGGCCCCCTCGGCCCTCCAGCTGCTTCACCTCTCTCTTTTTCTCCCCTCTGCACCTCCAGTTGCAGCAGACAGGAAGGAGAAGGCCGCAGCGATGCCCGACTCCCCCGCCGAGGTGAAGACGCAGCCCCGGTCCACGCCCCCCAGCATGCCGCCCCCGCCGCCCGCCGCATCCCAGGGGGCCCCACGGCACCCCTCCTTCACGCCCCACACAAGTGAGTAACCCCTGGGCCAGGGCACTGAATCGGGCAGAGCGGAGAGGCGCCTCGGGGAGCCCCTCCAGCTGTCTGAGCCTCTGAACCTGATCGTGAATCGAGCCAGTGCTGCAGTCCCTCCGCCCTGAGCCCCTAAATGCCCACTGTTGGGCCCTTCGGAGGGGGCCCCTCATCATGGCTCAGAGCCCACACTTTGAGCTTCAAATCCCAGCTCTTCTACTTTGTAGGTGGGTGGCCTCGGACAAGCTACTTGACCTCTCTGGGCCTGGTATTCATCATCCGTAAAGCGGGGTCAGCCGTAGTACCTGCCTCACGGAGCTGCCGTGAGACAAGTGAGTTAATAGGAGTTCTTACTCAGTGGCCGGCACATTGTGAGCCTTCCATCAAAGTGAGCTTTTATACTTGGAGCTCAGAGAGGGATAGGGACTTCCCCAAGGTCACACAGCAGGTTACTTGAGTGTGGGTGAGTTCCATCAGGCCTGCACCCTTCAAGAGGGCCCATCGGAGGCAGCTCTGGCCTTGGGAGCTCTCGGCTCTGATACCAGGGCCTCTGCAGCTGGACCTCAGCACCGTGTGAGGGTTGGCCAGGAACTGGGGTCAGCAGGGGCTTTGGCTGGCGGTGACATGGCAGACAGGACCCTCAGGTGGTGTCTCGCTGGCCCTGGGCAGACCCAGGTTGGGCGTCTCTGTGCACACAGCAGCCCTGGCTGGGGTCCGGAGGGCACAGCCACCACGGGAGCCCCATTCCTTTGAGTCAGAGAAGTTGGCAACTCAGCGGCTTTGGGTCTTGAGCAGTCAAGAAGGAGGCCCCAGCCTTGGACCAGTGTCGGGAACAGTGTCCCTTGGCCCCCAAAACCAAGGCCTAGCAGTGCCTCCCAAGCATTTCTGGAGGGCGGGGAAAGGATCCATGTGCCATCGTAACCCCATGTTCAGAGGCAGAAGCCCCACACCCGGGGGCCCCCCAAGCGAAGCCCCCCTCTGGGGGAGGGGCCTCAAACTCCTGGGCCTGGTGGCCCCTGGTCCCCACTGGGCCAAGAAGTAAGAGCTGCTTCCTCGGGTCCCCTTCCAGCCACCCGGAGCCCAGGGTGGACCGCAGGGCCTGGTCTGGCTCCCTTCATCCCTGGACATGAAGGATGCTGGTCCTGCCATCCAAGGCCTGGCTGCTGACTCTGTCGGGCTTGGGCGTGACCCAGCCTCCATCTGAGGCCTGGGCTGTGGGGTCAGGTGGCCCAAGTTCAAGGCCAGGCTTGGCCCCTTGTTTGTAGAATGGTGGCTTCAGGCCAGTCTCTGACCCATCCCAGTCTCCGTTTGGTAAATGGTGTGACACCACCTGCTCCCAGGTGCACTGCCTGTAAGCAGGGACATCCCAGCACACAGTAGGAGCTTCATGGCCAAACACTCCTTCCTGCACCTTCTCCAGCCCCCCTCCTGCCAGGGCCCAGATGAGCCTGGGTCCCCACGTGCAGTGGACACAGGAATGGGCCCGGCCTGCCTGTGTGCCAGCATAGAGCCTAGAACCGCGGGGCTCCCGTATCCTCAGTGGTTCTCCCGTGGCGACGGTGGCCGGGCCCTTCTGCCTTTTCGGGGAGAGACAGTCCTCACCTCTGGGCTGAATCGCAGGCAGGGTCTCCGTCCACCACACAGGGGCCGCTCCGTCTGGCCTCCGTGGGCAGAGGGGCGGTTCCCGCATGGTTTCCATGTCGGCAGCAGACGCCCAGCCCTGAGAGAGGAGGACTTATTCCTGACAGGCCAGCAGCAGCCCCCAAGTGCACCGAGACCATAGGCGCCCCACCTAAAACAACGCCACCCCCTACAGTGCTGTTCGGTTCCGAGGGGAGAACCCAGCAGACTGCCTGTTGGTCTGGCCAGGGCTCTGAGGCGGGTTCCCCGACCCTCGTGGGCGGTCTCCCCAGCCTGCATTCCCTCTTGGTCCAGAAGCCCATGTTCCGGAAAGCACTGGTCTGGGAACCAGATGTTCAAGGTCGGGGCGGGGCTGGGTCAGCCCACACCGCCGGCCTGCTTTCATGAGGCCTGTGAGCAGATGTGCGGTGGTGGGCCTGTGTGTGGCTCGGGTCCCCTGCGCCCCCACCGCCCCGCAGGCTCGCATCTCTGGAGCCAGGTCCTGGCTTTATGGAGAGAGCGTGGAGGTTAGAGAGACCAGCGTTCTCTCTCTCCTTCAGTTTCTCGGGATGCTGCGAGTGTCTAAGTCTCTGGTCACCTCCAAGGTGGCCTCAGATTTGTCCCCTGACCCACAGAATTCCCTGAAAGCGGGGTGGTTAACCACGTCCGTGCACCTGGCTGGCAGCACCCGCAGTGGCCAGAGCCTCTGCTCAGCCGAGGCTCCTGCCCGGAGCCTTCCCGGGACTGCCTGCGAGCCAAGCTGACCAGAGGCTGGCCGTGAACCACGCCTGGAGGGCTGTGGGAGTTTCCCCAGTGACCGCCCCGGGCAGATTCCATCTGGACCTGAAGGTCTACTGTGGCCAGGCAGCAGGCAGGAGGGCGGAGGGACTCTGGAAGGAGCGTGAGGAGCTGCCCTGCTGCTGGGAGGACCCCCAAAGAGCCGATGCTCCATCCCGCCCTCAGCTACGGTCACGACAGGGGGCTCACTCTGCTCGCAGCCATCCAGCCTGTCTCCTTGCGGCCTCTGCCCACTGACTCCAGCTCCGTCAAATCAAACGTCTCTCCCCGTTTGGTGCTTCCCCCCTTCACGGCAGCTCCGTCCTGGACCTCATTTTAGAACCGCTGTTGGCCTGTCTGTTGATGGAGACTTCAAGCCCTGTGCGCCTGGGCTCTGGGTCCCTTGAGGACAGTGCCGAGTGGGGTCACCAGGCACCTTCCAGGAAGAGAGCTTCTTAAGAACCAGGGTGTCCCGCCCTTGCCGATGGAGAACAGAAGTTCTTGTGGAGTCCTAGACGTTCCTGCAGAAATGGCCCTAAGAGACCCCCGGATCCAACCCCATCCCTTCACGGAGGAGGAAACTGAGGCCCAAAAAGAGAATGGACGGGCCCGAGGCGGTGACCCCAAACTGCTGTCAAGAGGCGGGGGGAGGGGCCCGCAGCCACCCCGCGGGCCTGTCCTGATGGCGTGTTTTTCTTATTTTGCTTACAGATCGAGAGGACGGACCTGTGATGTCTCTGCCCCACGGCCGTTTTCATGGCTGCTTAAAATGGTCTATGGTCTGTCTTTGTAAGTAAAATAACAAAAACTGCAGGGCTCCTGGGAGGTCCTCACCCAGCACCCTCTGCCCAGGGAAGGCACCCCACTGTGCATCTGCAGTGTCAGTCAGTCCTGCCTCCCTTGGAGAGAAGAGGGGTCCTAGGGGCAGGCGCAGGAGAGCAGAGCAGACAGCGTCCCCGAGTTCACACCCCAGCCCTGCCCCTCACGAGCTGTGTGACCTTGGGCAGGTGGACAGCCTCTCTGAGCTTCCTTTTCCCCAACCGCAAAGCAGGGTAAATAAGGCAGCTCCCAGAGTTGCAAGAAGGTCCATGTCAATGACAAGTCCGTAACTCAGCCGCCTTGAGGGCAGACCTGGGTCGAGTCCCAGCTCCTGTTCTTCCTGGCAGGGTGACCTTGGGCAAGTCCCACACCTGTGCCTCAGTTTCCCCATCTGTAAAATGGACATCCTCCTGACACCTGGGTGATTACAAGGAGCCACGAGATGCTGCTGGTCACGTTGGCGGGAGGGCTGACGCACACGGGGCACGAGGCAGGCATCGGTCACTAGTGGACGTTTCCGTCAAGGTGCTTGCGGCACAGCTGGTATCCGTAACGGGAAGCTCTCATGGGGCGATGCTCAGAGTATCTGTTGGCCAGCGAGAACGGCCGGGCTCGGCTGTCAGGACAGGCCCCGACTCTAAGCCAGGCGGGATGCACAACGCAGGTGTGGCCGCCGCGTAGCTCGCGGCTCTGGGGAGGGTGACGTGACAGTTGGGCGTTATTTATGTCCTGTGAGGCTGTCGCCCTCCTTGCCATTGTTCTGGGATGCGCCTGGCCTTGCTGTGGTGCCCGGAGCGTCCACGGAGATGTGGCGCTGTCAGGGCTGTGTGACTCGTGTTGACAGTGTTTCCTGGTGCCCGAGAGCCACCTCTGCACCAGGGAAAGGGGCTGTTTGCGGGGTTCCTTGTCCCAGCCCGACCCCTGCCCGGGCCCTGGGGCTGGGGGAGCCGCGGGGGTGCTGGCGTGCGCCCCCAAACCTCAGCTGGGGACACGTGTGCTCTAACTTAGTAACACACCTGTTGTGGGGTGGAAGCACTTGTGGCGGGGTTATTTTCGGCGCTCCTTTAGCGAGCTGCTGAGACCGCCCTGCAGCCGCGGGAGGGAGCGCGGGCAAGCGCGGGCGAGCAGGCTGCCGGGAGGACCCAGGCGCCGAGGGCGAGCTGGTAAGGGAGCCGCAGGGAGGCCATGCCCAGGCCGGGCCAGGGCCGGTGCGGGGGAGGAACGGGCCAGGTGGCGCAGGCAGCCACACATCTTAGAAGCCTCTGGAAGGCCAGACCCCAGAGGACAGCCCCGCTCACCAGAGAGCAGCGAGCCCCTGCTGTGGTGAGGTCTCCCGTGGCAGCGAGCCATCTCCTGGCCTGGCTGCAGTGACCGCCAGTGGCTGTCATCAGTCTTGACCAGGCTGTGTGTGTGCTGGCGTCGGCCGTGGTGTCATCTGCAGCTCACCAGTGAGAGGGAGGTAGCACCACCGGGGGTCTCCTGGTCTCTCTGAGGGTCCTCTGGACGGCGCCTCGGAGAGGGTGAGGGATGGGCCTCCTCATGTCCTGCGTCTGGCGTTCACTGTCCATCCAGAGCAACAGGGAAGGCCAGAGCGAGGTGCACTGCACCCGCGGGACTATGAGCCGGGTGTCACTCCTGGGCCCAGAAGGTGCTTCCGACCCAGGGGCCACACAGGTTTCCACTCCCACTGTGTCTCCGGGGGAGGGGGGCCTGGCGAGAAGGACTCAGCCCGGAGCAGCGCTGGCCTCTGCTCCTGCAGCCGCCCTGCTCAGGAGGGGGCAGCACATCGCTCGCGTTTTGGGGCCAACCTTGGCCTTCAATCAATCGTTTCCATACTTGTGCTAAGTAGGGGCTGGTTGCTGACGAGCAATCGTCCAGCACGTAAAACCAATCAGGCTGAGTGTTCCTGGCTCCTTCTGGTGGTGGAAGGACAACCTGGTGGCTTCTATGAGCCGGGGAAGCACAGAGCAGAAGGGGCCCGGGCACCCCGTCCTCTGGCCCCTGGAGCCCCTCTTCTGGTTCCGGCCAACAGCCATTCGCAGATGAAGAAACTGAGGCCAGGCCCCCAGTCTCACCACACAGCACGTCCTGGCTACACCAAGCGGAGGCAGGGCCTCGGGCAGGACACCCACTCCCAACAGTATGGCTTATCTCTCACCCACGAGGGGCAGGGCTGTGTCTGCTGCTGAGGGCCTACTGTGGGCTGGGGTCACCCTGAGGTGGCAGTCTTGGGAACCGTATGGCTTGTGCGTGATGATGGCGAGCCTCGTTACCTGTGGATGAGCAGCCCAGCCCCTGGCCTGCGGCAACGCTCAGTGAGTGAGGGAGGGGCCTTTGCAGGCGTCACCAGCAGGCCGGTCAGGGGGATGAGCCAGTCATCGAAGCTGGGGTACAGGCAGCGTCTGGGGAAGGCAGAGCTGGCCAGACGGTAGGCTCAGGGTTAACAGAGGTTGTTTACTGAAGGGCTCAGTGTGTGCAGAGGGGTGGGCTGGTTTTGGAGCCCCCAGGGCTGGTGACAGTGGGAGCTGTGTCCCCTGGACCTGCAAGGGTGGGTGGAGGGGATGACTGGGACATAGGAGAGACACAGGGTGGGAGCGCTGAGGCCCAGGAAGGAGGGACCAGCACGTGGGCCCCCCACCTCATGTGCTCCTGCCCTTCCAGGCTCCGTGAGTCCAAGACAGTCAGTAGGTCACCCCCCAGGCCCAGGTCAGGATGGCCAGGGCATGCATGGTCTGGGAGACAAACTGGCACCCCACCATCCAAAGCAAGCAGAGTAAGCAGCAGGCAGCAAACATCAAACGTCTGAGCCTGCTCAGGAGGAGCCGTGTCACAGAGCCGAGCCTGGCAGTGTCCCCATCCCGGAGAAAGGAGGCTCCTGCCCCCCCATTGCTGCACACACAGGCCTCCAGGCCTCGGCCACAGGTCAGAGGAGAGGCTGGAGCCTTGGAGGAATTCCGCCCTAAGGGAGTGGCGGCTCTGAGCTGCCCTCAGCCCCAGACCACACAGTTTGAGCGAAGTGTGAGAGCATAGGCGCTGTGCACAGACCCTGCGGGCCAAGGCAGGGGGAAGGCACGGGCCTCGTGGACCACCGCTGAGGGAGTGGGAGAGGTGTGCGTGCGTACGTGCAGGCGTGCATGTGCACAAGCGTGCATGTGTGTGTGCATGCAAGTGTGCGTTTATGGGGGTGTGCATGTGCACATGTGTGTGGGACTGCATGCTTACATGTGTGCACTTGTGTGTGCACGTGCATATAGACCTGTGTGAGAGCGTGCATGTATGTGTCTGCACCTACAAATGCATGTGTCTGTGTGTGTGTACTTGTGTGTGTAGGCATGTGTGCGAGTGTGGGTGTGACGGTGCTGAGGGAGGCATGGAGTTGGAGAATGGAGAGCGTGTGCAAGGGAACAGGTTCGGACCAGTCATGTAGGGAGTGCAAACACATACAGGAGGAGGGTGCGAGCGAGAGGGTGCCAGGTGCTGAGTGTGCGCACATGAGCGACTTGGACCGGGGACCTGTGCGGCCTGTCAAGGGGGCGAGACGTGACTGGCCACTGGGGTTAGCAGATGTGCTTCTGGCCTCCCAGAGGCATCCAGTCCCCCTTCCCCTGTCCAGAGCCCCCTCCACCATTACCAGGGGCCCTGGGAGCCCACAACCTCTGACCTCTCTGCAGACTCTGGAGGCTGGGGCTCAGGTGACTGGGCTCAGGAGGGCTCCCCCAGCCTCCAGTGTGGAGGCTCATCCTTTCCCTCCATCACCGAGGCTGAGGAGCAACATCCTGCCCTAGGACCATTTCACAGGGTCCAGGAGTCTGCCAGCCCTGGGATGCTGACCCCAGTGGCACGACCTCAGTGACCAACAGTGCTGCCCCTGGGGCCCCTGCAGCATGTTCACCACGAGTCCCTTAGGCCACCTGCTTGTCCTCCACACACAGCCTGGGGCCTGTGTGCACGCACGTTTGTGCCCTGCAGCCCCAGAGAGTAGCTGGCCCAGGGCCTCCCTGCCAGGGTCCAGCCCCCTTGTCCAGGGGTGTCTGATCCCTCTGCCTCATGCTGAGCCCCATCTGCCTGGGCACCGGGGCTCTCTTGCGGGCAATAGCACCTCTGTGGGACTTGGGCACTGCTCACGGCCATCCTGACAGAGGTGGGGGTCACTGGCCTTCCAGGGGGGACAAGCGGCCTCTCCTGCCTGGTGGTGGAGAAGCCCCTCTGCCTGTTCACAGTGGACACCGAGCAGCCCGGCCGGGAAGTTGGCACCTGCCAGGCTGGCCGGGGCGTCCCCCTGGGTGTGCCAGAGTAAGGCCAAAGGGACTGTGCCACCTCCCCCCCGCTGGGGACCTGGGCACAGCTGTGCCTCTCCAGACCCCAGTGGGCACACCTGTCAAGGGTGTCGGTGACCCCGTGGCCGCTCCCCGCCATCCTCACGCCCCTTCTCCCCACACAGTGATGAACGGCAGCACACACTCACCGACGGCCGTCAACGGCACCCCGTCCACGCCCAACGGTTTCAGCAATGGCCCGGCCACCTCATCCACGGCCTCGCTGTCCACGCAGCACCTGCCCCCCGCCTGCGGGGCGCGGCAGCTGAGCAAGCTGAAGCGGTTCCTCACCACCCTGCAGCAGTTTGGCAACGACATCTCGCCGGAGATCGGGGAGCGCGTGCGCACGCTGGTGCTGGGGCTCGTGGTGAGTTGGGTGTCGTGTCCCTCGGGTGAGTGAGGCTGGGGGCGCCGGGCTGTGCCAGCGCTCGGGCCTCCTGCCCCCTGGGCTGGGTGGACAGGGCTCAGCTGATACTCCGTGCCTTTTCTCCCCTCAGAACTCCACGCTGACCATTGAGGAGTTTCACTCCAAGCTCCAGGAGGCCACCAACTTCCCGCTGCGACCTTTTGTCATCCCCTTCCTGAAGGTACGGACAAGCCGCGCCCCTCCGTGGCGGGTGCCCAGGAGCCCGAGTCGCTGCCTGCTGGCTCTGATTGGGCCTCCCTCTCGACCTCCCTGGACTCGGGGGCTCCCCCATCCCCCGGGGAACAGTGCTGACCAGTCAGGACCAATTCCTACTAGTTAAGGCCACAAACTAGTTGCCAGACTGGATTAGTGGCCACCAAACCCAGCACGCTAAGACAGAGCTGCCCAAATCAGTCCCATTATTATTGGCCAAATTTGCTCATCCACTTGACAGCCAGTTTTTGAGTACCTACTGTGTGCTGGGTACTGTGGGGCTCGAGGATCTAGCTGTGAGCAAAGAGGGCAAGTCCTTTGTGTAGCCAACGCCCCGGTGGGAGGGAAGGCAGCCAGCCAACCATGACTCTAGGGTCTGTGGAGATGTGCACCAGGACTGCAAGGAGGGGGCATTTAGTGGAGGGTGAGGGAGGGAGCTGGGTGGATAGTGGAGGACAGAGCCTTCCAGGCACCTGGGACAGCATGTGCAAAGACCCTGAGGCAGGAGGAACAATGAGGAGGCCGTGTGGCTAGAACAGACTGAGGGGAGAGGGACAAATGGAGGGACAGGCAGGGGGTGGTTACATGGCTGGGCAGCCAGATGGATGAATGGGTGTCAGATGAAAACAGGGTCATGTGGTCAAACACAAAAGATAAACAACGGCTCAACAGTGGAGCGGCCTCTCAGCGGGAATAGTTCATGTTGGGCTGGGAGCAGCAGCACCAGAAGCCTAGGAGCCGTGCAGGCCCCCAGGCCCAGCGCAGACCCACTGATCAGAATCGTATCTTAACAAGGTGCTGGGCATTCGTGTGCCACACCAGTGGGAAGAGCGGTCCAGGCCGCGTGAGACCAGTGTCTCCATGGCAGCACTTCTCAGGGCCTTCACTCCCAGTGAGGGTGTGCATCTCCCAGAGAGGGCAGAGATGAAACGCTTCCCAAGTGTGTCTGACCCTATGACCCTTTGCTGCCCCACACCTCCCAAGGTCCGGGTTCCTTGGAGCTCACTTGGGAGGTGCCCACCCCCAGTGCCGCCGGCCTCCCCCGCAGGCCTCTCGTTTCCCGGGCCCGCGCGATGCCTCCAGCGTGGGCCCTGGTGGAGCTGCTCTCCAGAGGGTCTTGAGGACCAGACCGGAGGCTCCCAGGCTTGAGCCCGACCCTGCCACTTAGCCCCTGTCGGCCTGGGCCCAGCTGGCCTCCCCGGGCCTTGGCCTCTGCAGCCGTGCAGAGGGGAAGGTTGCATGAAGATTGCACGCAAAGAATTTGGCTCCTGCTTGAATAGCGTTGGGTGTCATCATCTGGGGATTAAGGCGCTCCCCGGAGCAGGCTTGCTTTGCAGAGCTCTTTCACCACTGCCCCTGCTGAGCCCCCCACTGCCCCTTGAGGGGGCAACCCAGGCCGTACCACTGTTCCCAGTGAACAGCGGGGAAACTGAGGCCCCCCGGAGGTCCCCACCGGTGCAGACATGGAGCTGAGGCTGGAACCTGGATCCATCAGACTCCAAACCCACTGGCCTTCGCAGGGCATGCCCAGGCCAGCACTATGTCTCCCGTGATCCCTCACAAGGGGGACCCCGTGTCGCTCCCCGACATCCGCTCGCTCCCCCCTCCTTCCTGCCCTCCCACCCACGCCCTGCTGTGCTCACACTCCTGAGCTGGTGACAAAGAGAAGCTGCTGGCTGGGACAGAGCGAGGGTTTGGGCCCATCTGGCAGTCATTGCAATTCATTACGAGCCCTCCCTTCTCTTCTCTCCTCCTTTCAACTCGCTGTGGCTCCACCGCTCCCCATCTTTGGGGACACAGTGCGCCTGCTTCCTCTGTCAGATCAAATATTTACAGCAGATGTCCCACCCGCGTCAGCTGCCCTTGTTTATCCGAGGAGCCAGGGCAGGGAAGACATTGCGCGTCCCCGCTCTGCCCCAGCCAGGCCTGCATCCCCTGACCACTGCGCCGTCACACCCCAGCATCCTCCGCCCAAAGTGGCAGCACGGTGCCGCCGAGGTCCCTCTGCCTCAGTTTCCCCTCTGCCCACAGCGGCTCTCACACGCTATTGGGGCTTTCAGGCCTGAATTGCTCTCATGGTCATCGGGGCCAGCTGGGCTGAGGGCCCCCGTCTCATGCCAGTGACCACACCCAGGGCCCTGGGCTGAGGGACGGTCAAGGACACGGAGTCCACTCGTCACCCTGAGCAGACCTCCTTGGGTGTGGCCAGTTCTGTTTCCAGGGCTTGTTGACAAGGCACCGGCCGGAGTCCTAGCCCCAGGGGCCTGCCTGGGGAGCAGCCCCCCCACTCATGGTGGCAGCTCACTGCAGGGGCGCCAGCGGGACTGCCCCTCCCCACCTGCTGGGTGACCTTGGTTTCCCCGCCTGTGACTTGGGCTGGCAGCAGAGGTTGCACCTTCCTGAGGACTCCGTGCAGCAGGCCCACTGCGTGGGCAATGGCGGCGCAGCCTCACGGCAGCCCTCACAGCCTCATCCCGTTCGAGAGGCAGGAACTGTGGCTGACGCTGCGGCTCGGGCCCCTGCCTGGCTCAAACCTCAGCTCCAACTTCGGGCTGCTGAGAACTTCCAGGCCTCACTCTTCTCTCTAATCACTGGGGACGTGACAGCCCACCTCACGGGCGGGGAGTGGCTGAGTTAATTCCTACGGAGCTCACAGGAGCCCTTCACACCCAGGACCGGGAAGGGTGAGAGCTCCTCACAGCTCCAGTTGCAGGTGAGGCAGAAGTCAGGGAAGTCAAGCGACTTGCCCAAGGTCACACAGCAAAGCCAGGGTGGGCTGACCGCAGGGCCCACAGTCATGCAAGCTGTGTGGGCATTCAGCGAGGTGCCTGGCGAAGCAGCGGGAACATGGCAAACCCTCAGTAGATGGGAGACATCGGCTCAACCAGCACGGGATTGCGGCTGTTTTTGCAAACGCTGATTTCCCTCTGGCCCAACTTCCCATCTGTGAAGAGGGAAGTTCCAGGCTTTTTGCATCATCAGAAACTTCGTTCACATGCGAACTTGGGGTCCAGAGGGCTTTTGCAACCAGCACAGTCCATCCAGCCTGTCAGTGGCGAGGCCTCCCAGGCGCCTGGGCCCTGGGGACAGAACAAGGACCGCTGCCCCGGGGGATGCGCAGCACGAGGTTTTCCACACGCTCCACCCATTTCTTCTGCGCTGGGGTCCTGCTCCCCTCAGCCAAGGGCCCCGGGTCCCCTGCACACCCCTGGACCTAACCCTGTGCACGGCTGAGTGGCAGGGCTTTCCAGAAGCCAGGAGATGCTGCCCCGCCCACCCGGCCTCCACCCTCGGCCCCGGCTCCCAGCTGGCCCCAGCCGGCCAGGAATCCAGATGTTTCCACCACCCTGACAGCGACCAGCCGGTGCCAAGGGGAGGCTGCGCGGGAGAGGAGGGGCCGGCGAGGGAGACAGAGGAAGTTTGGCGTCTTCAGACCTCCCGGGACCTCCTTTCCCAGCTCACGCTCCCAACGTGCTCGACAGATGGCGGGCTGGCCCCCGTTCAGCTATCCAAATAGAAAAACAGGCCTGGCAGCCGGCGCTGCTTGACAAAAATGCCTGGGCTGCTTGATCGGGTCCGGGTGGATGCACTAATGGGGGCTGGGGAGGCAGAGGCAGGAGAAGGCTGCCGTGGCAGCTTTGAATCGCCATGAGAAAGTTGGGGAATTGTATTTATTTACAAATACTTAGAACTCTGGCTTTCCCAAGCGGCCTGCCGCTGGGCCCCCATCCAGCCTGCCCCCCGGAGGCGGCTCTGGGAATATCTGCAGAAGGCGCTGAGGACCGACTGCAGCCTAGCAGTGCAGGCGGGGAGGCCGCAGAGCCAGGCAGAGGCAGGAGGGCACAGCGCTCCCGCGCGGGTGTTACAGGCAGGGTCTGTGGTCTAATCTTGTGCCCCCCCAATGTCATTCCACCCCTGTGCCCTCCTGTCCTTACCCATAAATATGGAACCAGGTCATAGGTCTGTCCCCAGTGGCTGTGAGGACCATGGTAGGTGTGACTGCTCAGAGCACTATGGGCGTGCTAATGCATGGAGTCCCATCTCCAAGCTTCATTCAGGGCCAGGCTGGGGACCCGCAGGAAGTGGGGGGGCGGGCCCGAGGGCATACCTCTGGGTCCTGCTCCAGCTCCTCTGTGTAAAGTTACCTGTGGGCAGCACTGCCTCCCCCTGCCCCCCGTCTGAGCCTCGGTTTCCCCCTCTACACAATGGGGACTCGTGCCTGCTTCCAAGGGCACAGGCAAGGAATCCTCATGATCCCCCCACACCATCTCCAGACCCGCATGGGAGGGAAGGAGCTCAGTGAAGTGGAAAAGCCCTAGCCTGGGAGTCTGGGATCTGGGCTCCGTCAGCAGCAGGTCCAAACCCCCTTTCCCGGCCCCCCCAGGCAAACCTGCCGTTGCTGCAGCGGGAGCTGCTGCACTGCGCCCGCCTGGCCAAGCAGACCCCTGCCCAGTACCTGGCCCAGCACGAGCAGCTCCTGCTGGATGCCAACGCCTCTTCCCCTATCGACTCCTCGGAGCTCCTGCTGGAGGTCAACGAGAACGGCAAGAGGAGGACCCCTGACAGGTACCTTGGGGGGCTTTCTGTGGTGGGGGAGGGAGAGCGTGGAGGGCTCCCTCCCTGCCTGACTCTGGGTCTCAACTCTTGAGAGCTGCCTCCAATACCACAGCTCAGCAGGTGCCCTCGTTCCAGGGCTGAGAGAATGCAAGTCGATACTATGTTGCATTCTGTGGCCCACAGCTAGTGGGCTGGTAAAGTTCAGCCTTACCTGCAAGGCCACTGCACAGGCTGAAGCACTGAGAGGCTGCCCTGTCAGGCTGTGGGGAGGCCTCCTGAGGACTCAGATGCCCCCTTGGGTGGGCAAGGGAAGAGGCAGGAGGGAGTCTGTCTGCAGGAAATTCCCTGGCTGTTCCCTTTGTGCTAGGTGGGGGCCAGAGTGTCCAGGAGTCCAGGGTCCCCAGGCACCTGGGCTGGCCCTCACTGCTGGGTCACAGAGTTAGGTGCTTGTCCTTCTGCTGCGAGAGGGTGTCTCCTTCTCCTGGTGTCTCAACAGAGGCTCAGCCTTCTTGACCACTGGACCCCAGGAGCCCACACACCAGGGGCAGGGTCGAGGCTGGCAGGAGCCCCAGAGAAGGATGGAAGGGTAGTCTAATGTCTCCTGTTGCCCATCTCTCTCGCTCTGTCTCCCTCTCGCTCTTTCTCTTTCTCTCTGCCCACACCCTCTCTCTCTCTCTCTCTCACCCCTCCTGCTGGACCTCTGTCCATGCTCCTGGTCTCATGACCAATGGCACCCTGCCTGCTCTTTGGCCAGGACCAAAGAGAACGGGTCGGACCGGGACCCGCTGCACCCCGACCACCTCGGCAAACGGCCGTGCACCCTGAGCCCTGCCCAGCGCTACAGCCCCAGCAACGGGCTGCCCCACCCCACGCCACCACCGCACTACCGCCTCGAGGACATGGCCATGGCCCACCACTTCCGTGACTCTTACCGCCACCCTGACCCCCGGGAGCTGCGGGAGCGCCATCGGCAGCTCGGTGAGCAATGTGCTGGGGGGCGGGGGGTGGGCGCGTGTGTGCCTGTTAGTTGGAGCACACGTGTGCCTGCATGTGTGTGCAGGGAGCATCCGAGAGCTGCCATGTGCATGTGTCTGTCCAGGAGGGACACTGAGGAGATGGGTGTAGCAAACGGATTTGAGCGGGGAGCCAGCCCAGGGCCCAGAGGGGACCCACTCTGGCTAGCTGCCTGAAGCAGAGCTGTCTTTCCCAACATCTGTCTGGGGGCAGCCAGACATCCCCACCTTCAGGGCCAGGAAGGCCCCTCTCTCCCCAGGGGCGGGCTGTGGCTATGCCTGTCCTGGGGCCCAGCTGGCCAGGGGCAGCTGTGGGCCTGGGGGACCTAGAGCCACTCAGCTTGAGGGGCACTGGCTGCCTGCTGGGCACACAGCCTTGGGCTGCCGGTGGCCCCTGCAGCGGGCGTTCATCTCCTGATAGAGACAGGAAAAGAGAGGCTGCCAGGCTCTGCAGGGGGTGCAGGGAGGGTGTTAAGCCAGGTTCCTGGACCCAGTTTAACGGGGGACCGGGGGGTGCTTCCCACACAACACTAAGCAATTCTCGGACACCAGCAGGGTGCCCTACAATTCGACTCAGTTCTGACTCGGTCTACCTGGAGACAGTGTCAGATCCCCCAGGTTAAGGGTTCTGTCTACAAGTCTGCCTCCCCTGCAGATGCCAGTTGTTGCAAGCACAGGTTGTCACCTGGGCTTCTGGCAGACGGGCTCTGGATCGGAGTTTCCCATGAGCCCCTCCTCGGGTTCCATTAATTTGTTCGAGTGGCTCACAGAACTCAGAGAACCAATTTACTCACCACATCACTGGTTTACTTTAAAAGGACACGACTCAAGAACAGCAGATGGAAGGGATGTGAGGGCGAGGTGTGGGGAAGGGGTGGGGAGCTTCCGTGCTCTCCAGGCACCACCCTCCCCGTCTCCACAGGTCCACCAACCCGGAAGCCCTCCAAACCAGCCCTTAGGGTTTTTACGGAGGCTTCATTACACATCCCTAGTGGTTGGTGATGGATCTGACGTCTAGACCCTCCGCCCTCACGGAGGTCGGGGGTGGGGCTGGAAGTTCCCGGGCTGATCACTGGTCGGCTCAGACTCTGTTGGTAACCAGCCCCCACCCTTGGGTGGGGTCCAAAAAACATAACAAAAGATATGTTTCACTTTCAACACTTAGCAAATTCCAAGGGTTTGGGAGCTGTGAGAAAGACGCTGTGGATGAAGATCAGATGTGTATGAGAAACACATTTTAATCATCTCAATGACAAATAGACATTCCTTATAAATCGCATATCTCAGGTGGGGTGGCTGGGCCAGCCAGGAAGACACTGTTCACGGGGAGGGTGGGCAAGGCCCGGCATGTGGCGGTCCCCACGTCGCAGGAGCTGCAGCCCCTGCCCCCAAGGCGCTCCCACAAGGTCTTGTGGCTGAGAGCCTGGCTGTGGAGCAGAACCCCACCGTGCGCCCTTGGGCGGGTCACGTGACCTCTGTGCCTCAGTCTCCTCCTCCGTCAGCTGGATCTAACAGGAGTGCACCCCTCAGGGGGTGTGAGGATGGAGGGAGTTAACACAGGGCAGCACCGAGTGGGCGCTGTGAGCCCCACTGTTGTGGTAACAGCGGTGACAGCCTGGGCTGGAGGATACTCATTTCTTGGAGGTGACGAGCCCTGAAAGGTTCTGACAGCCTGCAACATGTCTGCAGGCGCGCAGCACAAATGGGGAGACTGAGGCCCAGAGACACAGCTGACATGCCCGCAGTCTTCCAGCCACATGTGTCTGACCCTGCGACCTTCCTCTGTGCTGGGGACAAAGAGATGAATAGGACCACCCACCCCAAGCCCCCAGTGTGCTGGGGAGCACAGCTGGGGACAGCCGCCCCTGAGACAGAGGCCCAGGGCACGGATGGGGGCCCAGAGGCAGGGTCAGCAGAGGCCTCGCCCCGTACAAGGCCGTCTCCCGCCCCCACCCTGCGGAAGCTTCCAGGGCCTGGGCCAGGCAGCAGGTGATAGTGTCTGGCTCCCTGCAGCCGGGTCAGGCAGGTGCTGATTCCCGCCCGCTCCTGCTAACGCAAAAATAAACGCCAGCTGTTGGGCAGACCTCAGCCACTATTTTGGTTGGGGTGTTGGCTCAGGCCCCAGCTCCTCCGACGGTGGGGCAGTGGACAGCAGACCGTGGCCGCCACCTCCCACTCTTTTGCAATTTGGGGAGGCATTTTGGGTTTGGGGGGGCTGGGAGATCCTTAGGAGCTGAAAAAGGCCTAAATAGAGAGATCTCAGCCCAGGAGCATCAATAGCGCAGGGTCACCCAGCACGGGCTTGGGGCACCCAAAGCAGCAGGGGAGAGTGCATTCGATATTCCAGAAATCAGAGGCCGGGCCATCGCGAGGGCCGTCAGATGCCATTGCCCCATGCCCATTTCTCAGCTCACAGCTGTTTTGTTTCTGATCACTGAGGTGGGGACCCCACATTGTTTCACTCCCTGGAGCCGGAGCAGCCAGTGGCTGAGAGTGCACGCCGGCTCAGGCCAACGTCCCCTTCACCAGTCTCGGTTTCCTCCTCTGTAAAAGGGGGTGACGCTGGGACCCCTCGGAGGCTGACACAGCAGGGGAAAGAGGCAGGCATCTGGCACAGCCTGCTCGGTGGGCTCCCCACTCCAATGCACGTCCTGAAGGTCTTCTTCCACCCCAGGGAGGTAGGCAGGTTGGGGAAACTGAGGCACAGAGGCGAGATGAGGGGCCCAGGGCCTGTGGGGAATGAGTGTGGAGACTTCTGGCTTTGCCTGACCTACCATCTCCCTGTGGAGCCGGCAGTGTGGCCAGGAGACCGTATTGGACTGGCCCACTGAGGCCCAGCGCCGGAGCGCCTCCTCTCGCCTAGCTGGAGCTCAGCCCAGGGGACGCAGAGGTGAATGGGGCATGCCAGCCCTGCCCTGGGGACTGACACAGCCTGTTGAGGGGACCAAGAATAAACAAGGAAGTGCGTGGAATTACTAAACAACCAGAGATATGTGGGGCTCAAGGAATTTAAGGGCCCAGGGCCGCTGAGGAGGAAGGGGCTTATGACCTGGGCTTTGAAGGATGCATAGGAGTCCAGCTGGCTGAGAGGAGGTAGTAAAGCATGGGCTGGAGGTGGGCAGCCACAAGGAGCCCCTGAGGGCTTTTGAGCAGTGGTGAGGCCCTCAAAGTAAAGTCTGGGGCAGCTTTGGTTGGTAGCAGGGGGCAGAAAGAGTGAGCATGGCTGGATTGGGAGGCAGGGAGGTGGGGAAGGGTGGGGAGCACTGGGTGGGGCTCTACTCCCAAGCATCGGGTAGAGGCCAGGCCTGTTCCAGATGCCCCCAGGGCGGTGGGCAGAGGGTCACCCTCTCATCTTCCCCAGGTGGGCACAGCCCATGGACAGGGCCTGGGAGAAGCTGGGGTCCTGGGAGCACAGGGCGGGGCTGGGAGCCCCGGCAGGTCCTGAGCGTCCACTCCCCTCCTGCAGCGGTGCTCGGGTCCCGGCAGGAGGAGGTGATCGACCACAGGCTCACCGAGCGCGAGTGGGCCGAGGAATGGAAGCACCTCAACAACGTGAGTGTCCAGGCCTGGGGGCCACCTCAGCCCGCCCATCCACTTCTGGTGACACTCGGAACTGGCCCTTCTCTGCCCCTCGGGGCGTCTCCCACAGGAAGGGGCTTGGCGTGGGAGCAGGGCCCCATCAACTCTGTCCTTCGGTCCTCCCTTGCCCTGCTCCCTTTTTGGGCGGGGAGCCCAGGCAGAGGGTGCATCCCCAGAGCGGGGCACCCCACTCTTCGCGGGTGGAAGGAGAGCCCAGGCCCCTGCATTGAGCAGGCTCCCCTGTGGGTCAGGTGCCCCCGGGGCTCCAGATCCAGGTGGAGACCTAGGGGCTGTCTCAAGCCCCCGTCCCAGCTGCCCGAGTGTCCTTCCAGGCAGCGGAAGTGGGTTTTCACGCCCTGCCCTGAGCACCCCATAGCCAGCCCTTGTGGATGGCGGGCTGGCCGAGGCCTGGGAGTGTGGGAATAGATCCCCTGGCCATCCCCCTCCGTGCCAAGCGGCCACAGCCGGCCCCCTGTGCTCACGGCCGCCTGCCCGCAGCTCCTGAACTGCATCATGGACATGGCGGAGAAGACGCGGCGGTCGCTCACCGTGCTGCGCCGGTGCCAGGAGGCCGACCGCGAGGAGCTCAACCACTGGATCCGGCGCTACAGCGACGCTGAGGACACCAAGAAGGGGCCCACACCCACCACCGCCCGGCCCCTCAACAGCTCCGCGGGCGCAGAGGGGCCTCAGCTGGGTGTGCACCGGGGCAGCATGGGGGCTCAGGGGGGTGCTGCAGGGGCACCAGGGACCAAGGCCCGTGCCCGAGAGAGCAGGGCCCTGGGGCCGGCACTGCAACAGCTGGGTGTGCACCGGGGCAGCATGGGGGCTCAGGGGGGTGCTGCAGGGGCACCAGGGACCAAGGCCCGTGCCCAAGAGAGCAAGGCCCTGGGGCCGGCACTGCAACAGCTAGGTGTGCACCGGGGCAGCATGGGGGCTCAGGGGGGTGCTGCAGGGGCACCAGGGACCAAGGCCCGTGCCCGAGAGAGCAAGGCCCTGGGGCCGGCACTGCAACAGAGCACAACCCGAAGGGTTTCCCTGGGAAAAGAGGTGCCCTTTTGGCTGTGCACAAAGATGCCAGCAGCTCCCTGCAAGCCCAGATCACAGTTGCTCTGCTCGTCCTTCTGGATGAGACGGTGGAAACCTGGAGGAGCCCAGGACGGGCCAGCTCCCAGCCAATCCAAGGTCCAGCACATCTGGAGCGGCCCCTCCCTGACATTGCCCTGCCCCCACCCGGAAACTAGTACAGGGTTTCCCCCGATGGGTACCTCTGGTCCCCCCACTGAGAACACAGAGCTGCCCCCGTGGCCCAGCTGGGTGTGGCCCTGCCTGTGCGTGACGCTGGCCCCCGTGTTTCAGACATGCCCCGGGAGTTCCTGCCAAGGACCCTGTCCGGCTACATGCCCGAGGAGATCTGGAGGAAGGCTGGTGAGTGGGGACAACCCCCGGGGAGGGGGGGCTGGGGCTCCAGACCCCTGTGGCCCTGTCTGTCTGTGAGGAGCTTCCGTCTGCCTGGGGGTTCAGCCAGGCCCCAAGCTCACAGCACAGCTCACAGGGCTATACAGACCCTGCCACGCGGGGCTCACAGGAGGGCAGGATGATCACCAGCCAACAGCTGCCAGCGAACAAGCATGTCGCTCAGCAGGACAAAGCGGGTCCTCAGGCCCCGTGTACACATGCGTGTGCACAGATATCCACACAGGCGAGAGAGGCCCTTAGAGCTGGGGTCCCATGACCTGAGCGTAGCATCGAGCATGGTGCCAGGGGATGCTGGGAGCACACTCACTGCGTTGTGGGAACAGACCGTGGGGAGGGACCGGCAGCAGCAGGGGCCCGTGGGTGGAGAGGCCCCGGCGGGCTGAGACAAGGCGGTGGCCATGAGAGAGGGAGCAGGATTGCAGATGCATTTTGATTTGCGGGTGGACTCACCATGTCAGGAAGAGGAAGGAAAATGTCAAGATCTTGAAAGCAGAGAGAGAGAAGGGTTCCAGCCCAGAGCTGGAGGCCAAGGGGCCACGGACAGGTGGCAGCTGCCTGGAGCGAAGCAGGAGGATGGGAGTCTTCATTCTCCTTTGTCTCCGTCTGACCCATGGCGGGGCTTTATGGGACCCTTGCTGACATCCACTGGAGCTTGGGCAGTGACATGGGGGCACACGGCAGCAGCCAGCACTGCCAGCAGCTCAGCACACACCCAGCGAGTAGATGCTCGGATGGGAGGCCTGTGGGCCGTCTCCGCCCCTTAAACAGGAACCTTGCTTAATCTCACCCCAGCCTCCCTCACGCCACGCTACAATAACAGAGCTGGCAGGTAAACCGAGGCAAACCTAAAAGCCCCTGGTGGGGTCAGCAGGGGCTGGGGGCCCTGTTGTTCCCAATGTCCAGAGGGCACAGTGCAGTCTGAGCAGACACTCCTGGCTCAGCTGGACAGCTCAGCTCAGCACAGCAGACACTGGGAACGGTGCACTTCATCCGCAGAGGGAGGCAGCCAGAGGTGGCGAGAGCAGGGGAGACGAGACACGGCTTTGGGGGCGATAAGACAGAGCCTGGCCGGGGTAGTCTCAGGATTGCTCCCGGGTGGGCTGCAGGGGAAGGCAGACTGTCCGTGGGGAGAAACAGTACAGCTGTGATTCTCCAGGTGGGCAGCAGGACCAACAGCAGCACCTGGAACTTGTTAGGAATGCAGATTCTTGGGCCTTCGGGCCTGCTGAGTCAGAATCTGGGGGCAGGTCCAGCCCAGTCCTCGCCCTCACCCTCCAGGGGTGCCACTGCCTGTGCAAGTGTGAGAACACCATGGTAGAGGACAAGCTTTGGAGATTCCCCCACGAGCATGCTTGCACACACGTGCCCGGGATGCACATGATCATGTGTGCACAAGCCCCGTGCCCAGGGTTGTGGGCGGTGAGGCCCGGGAGACCCGTCTGGGCCGGCCTGAGTGACGACGGCCATGGCGTCCTTTGCAGAGGAGGCAGTGAACGAGGTGAAGAGGCAGGCGATGTCTGAGCTGCAGAAAGCTGTGTCGGACGCAGAGCGGAAGGCCCATGAGCTCATCAGCACAGAGCGCGCCAAGATGGAGCGGGCCCTGGCCGAGGCCCGGCGGCAGGCCTCAGAGGACGCCTTGACTGTCGTCAACCAGCAGGAGGACTCCAGCGAGGTAGGGCGGCCTGCCCGCCCCACACCCCATCCCCGCCTCCGGGTCCAGGGCCAGAACGCCCTCTCTGCCACCTCCCAGCAGAGTGCCCAGGGCAGCCCTGGAACTCTCAGGGCCTCCTGACCCCACATTGCCTGGTGAGGCAGGTCCCGTGGGCATCCCCACTGTACACGTGTAGAAGCTGAGGGCTCCAGAGCGTAGGCACTGCCCCCGGGTCACACTTAGGAAGTGGCGGGGCCGTTATTCGAACCGGCTGGCAGATGCCAAAGCCCGCGTTCTCTCTAAGCTATGAAAGCAGAAGGCACGCGGAGGGGTGTGAAGACCCCAGGTGGTTTCAGCTCCTGGCGCACTGCACACCCAGAAAGAGAGTTACCATCATGCTAGGAGGCTGGGCTGGGCCCAGCAGGGCAGGTACAGGGGGACCCTCGGTGACCCGCTTCCTCCTTGTTGGACAAGGACTCAGTCAGCAGAGAAGTCAGGGAGAGGGAGAGACCCTTCCCGGGGTGGGCGGTCCTAGCACTGTCTTTTGGGAAGGAGTATTCTCCAAAGCCCCCAGGATAGCCAGTGCCTGGGCTGGCCCTGAGGGAGTGAGCAGGGGAGCTGGTTCCCCACCAATTCATGGGTCTCTGCACTGGCTCTCTCAACAGACACCCTCGCTAGAGCCGACCAGACAGTGCGGGGAGAGTTAGCAGAGGGGAAGGGAAGCCATGGTGTTCCAGGCTTAGGAAGGCAGGCGGGGTGGCAGGGAAGGCTCAGCAGGACCGTCTCAGGAATTGGTCCTGGGAGAAGTGAGCAGCCATGCAGGAAGCGGGGTAGCAGCTCCATCCCCGTGGGGGGCGCGGCAGGGACAGAGGCCAGGCAGGGGCATGCCTGGCAGAGTGGCAGAGTGAGGACCACGAGGAGGCCAGTGTGGCCGGGCAGAGCGAGTTGGGGGAGAGCTGGAGGGGCTGGGGGCCCAGAGGCGTTGGGGGATAAGTAGGCGCTCGGGCCTTTCTCCTGGGTGGGTGTGGCTCCCCTGTCACACAGCCCCGGCTGCCCACCTTCTGCTCGCATGGGCCACTGAGGTTATAGCTCCTTCCACGGAAATGCAGCAGAGGCCCAACAGCAGGGGAAGGACGTGACCCAGGAAGGCAGTGGCTCCCTTCCCCCTGAGGACCCTGTGCACAGCGTGAACCTGTCTGGGGTGGGCCAGAGTTGTGCCACACAGTAGTGGGAGCCCATCCCCCTGAACTGGCCCAGCCTAGTGCCTGTGACCGTGGAGGGTCCCCCACAAGCCGTAGTGCCTTGGGGTTCTCTCTTCCCGCTTGATGGCCTGTGGCTGGGTCCAAGCGGGTTCATTTGGACTGTGTGCTTCCCTATCCTCTGGCCGGGCTGGAACCTTGGGTATTTGGGGGGGCCCGGCCCTGCCCCATCCCTGACCATGCCCCTCTCGCATCCAGAGCTGCTGGAACTGTGGCCGCAAGGCAAGCGAGACGTGCAGTGGCTGCAACGCGGCGCGCTACTGCGGCTCCTTCTGTCAGCACAAGGACTGGGAGAAGCACCACCACGTGTGCGGCCAGAGCCTGCAGGGCCCCGCAGCCGTGGTGGCCGACCCCGTGCCCGGACCGCCCGATGCCACCACCAGCCTGGGCCCCTGCCTGCCCACGGGCGCCACCAGCCCCAGCGAGGCCGGCTCCGCAGGGCCCTCTCGCCCCGGCTCCCCCGGCCCGCCTGGCCCACTGGACCCTGCGCCCCGCTGACCCCTCCAGGACCCCGATGCCCAGCCCACGGACGCCGCGCCCACCCGGCCCCGGCCCTCTGGACGCTGCGCCCGGCCCCGGGACCCCGACCATTGGAGTCACTGCTGCTACTGCTTCTCTCCAAAAGAAAACACAGAACCAACAAAACTGCATTCAACGCGACTTCCTCAGCTACCTGGCGCTCTCGCGGGGCGGCCTCCTGAGCATCCTCAGAAGCCCCCTGAGGGCTTTACCCCGCGGGGCTGACCTGCCTCTCTCTCTGTCTCTCTCTTCTGTCTTGACGACTTTCACACACTTTATCTTTAAGGAAAAAATCTAATCATTCGGTGGCTTATATTTTCAGTGAAGAATTTTGGGGGGTTTTGTAGCAGAAGAGCTACTCAGAAATGGATACAGAAAACTGTGGGGGTTTTTTCCCCCCTTCCTGATGAAAAAGGGAAAAAGAAAATGTATTTTATAGCCGGAGATCTGAGCCGCTGTCTCACCGGAACCACCCAGGGGTGTGTGCGCCGCGGTGAAGACGGTAAGAAGGATTTCAATTTCCGACTCAAGAAGCATTTTTTGGTTTCAGATTTTTTGTTTTTCCTTTAACGTCAAACTCTTTGGCTTTAAGTAGAAATCCAAAAAGTTTTTTTAAGAAAAGTACAGGAAGCATTCCTGTAAACTACCTTGCCAGCTAGCCAGCCAAGGACGCCGGACACACCTCTGCTGCAAAGGAAATCCAAAAAGCAAACACACAAAGTTAAAATCCAAAATGTTTTGTCACTGCCAAAGTAATTTTTCACTGTTCGACTCCACTCTTGGGTTTATTCCGACGTCGGTCTTTCTCTCACTTCAATTCTGTTTCCGGAGTGTTGGGATCCTGGGGTGTGGAGGGGTTTGCCCAACAAGAAGCAACTTTGTTTCTCTTCACCTCGACCTCGACCACTGCGCCTTCGCGGTCGCGGAGGGCAGGTCCGGGGGGCAGCGCGGTGGCGACGCCCCGTGTGTGCACGTGCGCGTGTGTACATGTGCGCCAGCGGCTCACCAGCTGTGTGTCCACTTGTGTGCAGGGGACGATACCTCTGTCTGTCCTCATGCCCTCTGTGAATTTTTATCACATTTCATTTTTTCCACTTATGAAAAAAAGTGCTAACGTGTCCTTCCCAGAGAGAGCGTAATTCCGAGACAAGACTGTGACAATCTTTTGGGCTGATCCTTGACTGCTTTTGCAAGCACAAGGAGACAGCGCTGGCCTCTGACTCTGCTTCTCCGTGTCCCTCCTCTACCTCTCCCGGCTCCGCGATGCCGCCGCCCATCTCGTCCACCCCAGTGTCTCCTGCGCCCACTCTCCTTTCTCCACACTTTTGCAGAAAAAGAAAAAACTACCGACAAGAACAGTCGCCCTCTCGGCCCCTCTGGAGACTTGGTCAGCTGTATATAACCCGGCGCTGTGTCCCGCTGCTCCTCGGGGGTGTTCCCTCGGACGCCCCTGCTCAATTCCCTGGCGAGCCCAAGGAGGACATGAAGGAACAGGACATTCTCGCCTGCAGCCCACAGGAGAACAAACAGCAGACACGGCCCGCGAGCTGCCGTGCCCGGCGTCGCTGTAAGAAGTTCCCAGGACTGGAGTGCAATACGGGGAGTGACCAGCTACTGAACCCGGGGCTCCCGGGGGCCCCGCCGAGAGGCGAGGAGTCAATGGTGTGCGTTAATGTGAATGTATATAGTCCCTGCAGAGGTCCAAATAATGATATTCATGATGATGATAATAAAGAAGATGTTTGCCAAATAAAAAAGAGAAACCTTGGAAATATGTAAACTTTAGAAAATAGATTTTCAAAGAAATCTGAACTGTGCTCCTATGGAGAGCAGTGGGTTTGTTTGATGGCTGTCGTTTTTTCAGAGTTGTAAGAATTCATTCTCTGAGTATTAAAAGGAAGGATCCCAACCGGCTGCCACAGACCAGGTGCCGTCCCGAACCACCACGCCTGACACCGGAAACCTAATTCTGAAAGTCGAGATAGCTTTCTCTTACCCTCCAGAAAGTTCCCTGGCTACAGCCACCACCTCCATTGCCCAATGCTGCGGGTCCATCAGCCTCTCAGAGGTTTGCTTCTGTGGGTTTCAGGAAAGCAAGGGCCAGTCTGGATCTGGGCTCCCCAGGAGACGGCGGAGCCGCCTGACCTGCCTCCAGCTTGCTGTCTTTTTCTCGCGCCAGCGTTGAACCTGTTAACACGGCGTTTTCGGACGCACAGTGAATTGACCCGTGCCCCCTTGGAGGGGGGCGCTCTTGGACTGTCCCACGAGGTGGTGCTGGTGAACGGGTGGCTCCACCGGGGGTCTGGGCCCCTGAGGACTCGTGTCCCTGACGTCAGGACTTAGGGGGCCTTCCGGTCTGAGGCGAGTGGTGGAGGAGCCCTCACCTGGAAACCCGCTGGTTTGCTTTGCTGGCCTCTGTGTCCCTTCCCCTCACAGGGTCCCCCTTTGGGGACAAGCAGGCATGCCAGGGATGGTAGCGTGTTGGCCAGCTGGTGGCATCCTGGCCAGACCAGCTTCCAAGGCCGGACCACAGGCTGAGGGTCCAAGGTGGGGCGGCCCCTCCCTCTCCAGCTGTTGGGAAGAGCTGGCCCCCAAGCCAACTATAGAAGCCTGTCTTCCCAGTGTGGTTCCACGTCCACAGCCCCTACACCAAGACGCAGCGCTGACAGGCACTGCAGAAACCTGCGTGAGGGGTGGCCACAGGCCGACCGGTGGAGCCCCTGCAGGCCGAGAGTGTCCTCGGGATCAGGATGGCAGTTGGCGGCGGGGGGCTTCCAGTGAGGAAGCCAAAGCCCAGAGTGGGTGGGAGGGGGGTGTCCTGGTGCGCTGTGTCAACCGATGCCGGCAGGTGTGGCTGGCTCAGACAAGCAGGTGGCTCCTCCTGCCCAGGGAGGCCTGGGGGGCGCTGGGGCTCCCTTCCAGGCTCTGGGAGCTGGCGTTTCTGTCGGTCACTGTGCTCAGGCCTCATCTGGCCAAAGACTTCACAGCAGAACCAAACAGGGAATCAATAGCTTTGGGGAGGGGAGGGGCGGGCAGAACTCTTGCATCAGGAGTTGGACGGTGGCAACAAACAGCAAGGGTTTCCCCTGCTGTCTGCACCTGGAGCACCTGCCTTTCTCATGCAAGGAGGGGATCCAGACAGAAGGGGCTCTAGCCGCCTGCTCTTAGCTCCGAGGCCGTCCTGCCCTGCTACCTCCTGAGCTTACAGACCGCTGACCAGCACTGCAGCGTGCGAGGGTCTCCTCCCCGCGGGCCACCGCCAGCATCAGACACACAGGTGACCCAAAAGCTCTGTGAGATGTGGCTGCTCGCAGAGCCTCCCTCCCCCAGATTCTGAGGCCAAAGCTACAGCAGGAAGGCAAAGTGAGGCAGGTGGGCAGGGCGGCAGGCAGAGCACCCCAGCCCACAGGGCCAAGCCAGGGATGATGGACGGACAGGGGACAGCAGGACAGATGCTGGCACCCAGGCCCTCTCTTTCACCCCCATGTAGAAAGCCCCCCAGTGTGTGACTCCTCGACCTTTCCCACCCCCTCGCCGCTCGTTTCCCATCCTGCCCTGGACCCGCACTGGGTTTTCTTTTAGGACGTCTTTCCACCCCCAGGTGGTATCTGGGGGTGTTCTGTTGACCCCCCACTGAGACAAAGGCAAACACCAGGGCATCCACACACGGACAGGCTGGCACAGCCCCAACCCCATATGAACAGAGAGGGTCCCAACACCATGGCTCACCATGACCAAAAGGAGGCCTTGGGTGTTACCAGGGGGCAAAGAGGAAAGCTAGAGAAAGTCTCAGGGGTCCGGGAGGGTAATGGTCATAGGACAAGAGGAGCCGGCCCATCAGGAAGGGGCTGCCCTGTGGGCTCGATGGGTGGGGGTCACTCATCGGGACCCGAGAGGTTGAGTGGTGGAGGGAGACGGATGGGAGAAGGGCAAGGGGCTGTTGGTTTTGGCTTCACCCCAACAACTTGGTGGAGAGAGATCAGGACAGGCCCTAACTTTCTCCTGTTTGCTAATTTTTCCAAATATATCCTCAAAATGACACCAAAGCCCCATCTCTGGCATCTATCCTGTCTGACCCAGCCCACTCTAGCCAGCATGTCTGGGCATTAATCTGCCCTTTCCCTCAACCAACCTACAGTTATTCATTGATTCTTTTCTTTCATCAGTTCATCCTTCTGATTAATCCAGTCATCCACCAGTCCATCCATCCATCCACCCACTGACTCACCCATCCATATGTCAACTCATCCATCCATCAGTCCATCCATCCACCCATCCATCCATCCATTCACCAACCCATCTGTCCATCTACCCATGCACCATCCATCCATCCATCCGTCCACCCATCCGTCCATCCATTACTTTATCCCAACTATCCCATCCACCTCCACCCATTCTTTCGCCCATCCACCTGTCTCTCCACCATTCACCCCTATACATGCCACACATGTGTCTGCCCATCCATTCTCCAATCTAACACACCCAACCACACCTCAGTCCATCACCCCATCCACTTCTCCATCCACTGAACCCAGAGTAGCACCACCAACTCCTTCGATGTCGAAAGCTGCAAGGGTGCTTTGGACCCTCCTGTGACCTCAACTGCCCCATAGGAAACTGCCTGTGGGCACAGCCACCCCCTCCCAGCCATTGGTCCCCGCCTGCTCCAGGCATTGTGGGCAGATTGGACCAATGTCCTAGCAACAGCTCCGGCCAGTCTGGGCCCGCCTGGCAAGTGTGGTGGCCTTGGGCCAGGAGTGCGCATTGGGAGGCAGCCTGCACACCTGCTCAGGGGCCCTATGACCGGGGCCACCAGTCAGGGTGAGCACATTCCCTGGCAAGGCCCTGACATTGCAAGGCGGGGCTGCCCTCTCCTCCCCTTGTCTCCAGGTCACTGCCCGGAGGAGGTGTCCCCAGGAAAGCAGGGAGGGGAGAAGGAACCCAGTTCTGGCCTCGCCCCAGACCCCAGCGCTCCTGCAGCCCTGCTTCCTGGGGCTTGCTCTGCCTCACTCCCACTCCCACCTTCCATCCTGGGGCCCCAGGTGGCTGGAGATGAGCCTTCAGAGCTCTGCAGAGACAGAAACAGACCCTGCCCAGCTGCATTCTGCCGATGGTGATGGGTGTCCTCTGGGACCCTGGAGGCCCAGCACAAGCCCCCAGTGGCTGCTCCCACCTGCCTCCAGGCTCCCAAGCCACACAGGGCATTTTCCAGAATGGGGCTGGGAGCAAGGCTCCCCGATTATGGTCCTGCTGGCAGGAGAGGAAGAAGAGAAAGAAAGCAGAGGGGATGCAAGGAGAGCTGGGCTTGGGGGACGTCTGCTCCTCTGGACGCCTCACAGATAAGGCCTGGGGAGCTGGAGTCTGTGACAGCACCCTGCACTGGTGACCACAGTCCCAGAAAACTCCATCTTGCATGTTTTTATTCCTTTCATTTCAATTCAGCTGGCCCCTGGAGTGCCACCCAAAGACCCCTTGTAGCAGTAACACAACATTGGAACTCAGATTGGAACCTGGTTTTTAAGCATTAGGAGGAAGGCACTAGGTGGCCTTGCTCCCCATGGACAGGGGCCCAGCCAGGCTGGCTCCAGTTCACCCACTGGGTCCTCCGCAGGCCGAGGGGCCGGGCCGTGGGAACAGGGCCAGAGCACAGCCATGCACAGCCTGTGGGGAACGGGCTGACTGTCCCCTTCCTCTCTAGTCTTCTTTTTTTTCAATTCCCCAAAAGGAGCTGGCCCGAGAGCACTGGGTGGGTTTCCCGCTGCGGCTTCTCGGCGCCGTCTAGGACCCATGGTGCGCATCCCCTCGCGTGTCCCGATGTACGCTCTGTCTGACCTGAGCGCTGTGAGATGTCGCACCAGGTCTCGTCGGTTCTCTCTGTGTCGTGTAATAAAGCCAGCGTTTGCCATCGCGGACTCTGCCTCTCCTTGGGTTCCTGGCGACTCCGGCTAAGCTCCAGTTCACACTCTTATTCACCCACGACCTGCTGCAGGCCTTCTTGGTGCCGGGCAGGAGAGACAAGGCCCTGCCGCACGGGGGTGGACAGACAGACGTGGAGCATGGGTTGGGGTGTGAAGGGACAGAGGCAGCTGACCCCCTGGCTCAGTCCACCCACAGCCTCCTGTGTGCTTGCACGTGGGGTGAACTTTTGAAGGTTGTGTCCTCAAGGTGATCTGGACGACCTTAGACCCCAGATGACAACTATGGCTTCAAGGGCGCCAAGCCCCACTGCCTGTGGCAGTGCTGGCACCTCCCAAGAGACCCTCAGGGTGGACAGGGGACCTTGGACACTGAGGGAAGGGACACCTCGACCCCGAGGAGCCAGAGTGTCGTAGCCGTGGTGTCCTGGTTCCCAGGGCCAGTCCCGTCCAGAGTCGGGTGCCCAGGACTCGGCGCTCCCAGGAGGAAGTGGTGTTATTAATACTCGGGCCCAGGCTTGGAACATGCTGTATTTTGAAAGGCGTCATTGGAAAGACCAGCGTGGGGGCGAGCCTGTCCACACACCAGGCGGCTGGCAGGAGCCCCAGCTGGGCCTGGTGTGTCAGCAATCTCAGCAGAGAGCAGGTGACAACGTTTTTCCATTGCAGAGGTCTGAGCTCGGAGGAGGCTGGCCAGGGCCAGGCCTGAGTCCAGCCAGCTCTTGGCTCGGACACAGCCACAGGGTGTCCTGGCTCCCATGTGGAGGCAGATGGAAGGGCCCAGGCCAGAAGCCCCCTGTGGCCTCAGAGCCACAGGGAGGAGAGACCTGCCTGCCTCATGTTATAGGAGAAAGGCAGTGGCTGCATGTCCACCCTCGTGCAGCCAGCCCGAGGCCAAGGCCCTGTCCTCAGTGCAGACGTGGACGCTGCCCTTGAAGCCCTCTGGCCTGCCAGGGGAGACCTGGGGACATGTAATTCACAGAGGACAGACAGAGGGCGAGGCCTGGGTGCCACGGCCACAAGAGGGAGCAGGAGGAATCAGGGAGTCTTCCTGGAAGCAGCGGCACAGTGGCAACAGTGCCCCCTGGGGTCGCACACATGTAAGTGCGTGTGGCTGTGTGGGGACGGGGAAGGGGACGTGTTCTGAGGACCCGCATTTGAGGAGGGCGGCAGCTGGGAGGCCATGCGCACAGGCCCACAGCCGACTCAGGGCAGGTCTCCCTTCTCCCAGGCCGCAAGACTGTGCCCAGGATGGCCCTCCCTCGGGGGCGCAGGGGCACGGTGCAGTCCCCATCCCGCCTCTGTGAAGGCGAGAACACAACTGGGCAGAGGGAGGGAGTCGGCCGAGCGGCAGCACAGGTGTCCCCTGACCCTCAGCCCGGGGCGGGGAATGGCTGCCCAGCTCCACTCCCAATTCCAAATTCCCAGGAAAGAGACCCCAATGGGCCCAAATTGGACTTGCCAGCTGTGGCCTTGGAGGGTGGGCAGTCACGCCCAGAGGGTCCCCCACAAACCGTCAGGAGGACGGAACAGGCACTGCAGGAGCTCCAGCAAGACTGAGCCAGGGCCAGCCCAGGACAGATGGAGGAGACCAGGGCACACAGGGACACAGGCCAGCGCCGCCCTCAAGGGGCGAGAAGAGGGGAGCAGAGGCCGACAGCAGAAGCAGGAGACTTTACAAAATTCACCTTCAGGCCCCCAGACGATCACCGGAGCTCCCCGTAATTCAACCACTGTGCCTGTGGCCAGGGCAGGATTACGGCCATATTTAACTGGCTCCACCTAAAAGCGGGTCCAGAGTTGGGTGGAGGAGGGGAGGGTCCGTAGGGAATCGGTGGGAGGTCAGGAGGAGTGACAGAAGTGGCTGTCTCTCCTCCGGGCCCAGGACCCCACCCTGGACCAGCCCACCGGGCTCTGACTCCTGTGGTACATGCCCTGCCATCACTCCTCGGGCCTCTGCTCAAGCTGCCCCCTCCACCCAAGCTGTGCGCACCCAGCCTCTGCCTGACCCAGTCCATCAAGGCCGGCTCAAAGACCACCACCTCCAGGAAGCCTGCACTGACAGCTGTGCCCTCCTTCCCTCTTGTACACGCTCGGGTAATTCGCTTATGCCCATGTCATCCTAACTGTGGCCCACCACTGAGGTCTAACCCTGAGTGGAGACCCCAGTGGGCTTCCCAGGCTGTCACCGCCCCCAGCTCAGGCATTGTGGCCAGTGTGGCGGGGCTAATGCAGGGGGAGGCCCTCCCAAGCTCCACCGCAGCTGCGCTCCTTTCTCTGCACGGAGAGTCCTGGAAGAAGGGCCAGGGGCAGGGACCAGGGCCTTTTATGCCTCAGGGCCCAGGAACCAGGGCTGGAAGCTTGGCCCCAGCCCAGAGGGAGCTCTTCAGCGCTCTATTGGGAGCAGCTGGCCTGGGGGAGGGCTTAAAGCCCCGCGAAGGCGCGGGCAGGTGCTGGAGTGGAGGAGCAGTGGAGGCCTCGAGTGCCCTCTCCTTGTCCCATCCACCATGTGGCCCTTCCTCAGCCGCACACTCTTCCCGCCCCCCACCGAGGCCTGGCTCCAGAGGGCTTCCTCCGACCCTGAGGCCCAGGGCTGGGGGGCCTGGAGCAGGACTGAGAAGTCCTCTCTGGGGCCAGGGGGTGAGGAGCGGGAGGCCAAGGAAGCTGACGAAGAGGCAGGCTTCCTGCTGTCTCTCTTGGAGAGGGAGGACCTGGCCGAGTGCCCGGTACCTGACCAGGTAGCAGCCATGTGGAGCACCCAGCAGAGGCAGGCCAGGGATCCCAGGGGCCCCGTGCATGGGGGGTAGGGGACCCCGAGGACAGGCAGGGTCGGGGCCTCCCTCAAGAGGAGCCTGGGGGCTGTCCTCCCTCCGGGCTCAGCCTGGGGTCATGTGCCAGCAGGAGCTGGAGGCCATCAAACTGAAGCTGTGGGCCATGGAGCAGGCCCAGGGGCTGGAGCCGCCCAGGGTGCAGGCCCAGGCCAGGGAAGAGGCGGGCACGGGGACCACGCTGGCCGGGCAGCTGCTGAGCCCCAAGACAGGTAGGAGCCAGCGGGCCACGCCGACCCCTTCCCTGTGCAACCGGCCCCCCGAGTCCTCGGGCACGTGGCTCTGAGCGCCCTTTCCTCTAAATCGGGATGGGCTGTGGGAGGCTGCAGGAAAAGCACCTGATCCCAGGGAGAATCAGGGTTTCCACCAGCGTTGGCTCCCCCAAGAGCCTGGGCGACCCTCTCCCCCGAGGAGTGAAGTGAGGAAGGAGCCACAAACGGGAGGTTCCTGCCCTTAGCAGCCACACGGAGACCCCCTCACGCTTGACCCCCCCAGTCCTGAGGCTACTCTCTCCGCAGGCTGCCCAAGCCCCGGGACCCCCACGGAGAAGGTGCAGGCAGACCACAGATCCATCTACGTGGGCAACGTGAGTGCGGGAGGGGAGCGAGCTGGGATCCCTTCAGTGAGCACTCTGGGTCTGGCGGCTCCACCTGGCCGTGCAGATTGAAGGAGGGGACACATTCAGGGTGGCACACAGGCCCCGGAGGGAGAGGAGGAGGAGGGGGTCTGATGCGGGTGGTCCCCAAGAGGGGCCGAGCCTGTGTCCTCAGGCGTTCTGATTTCCCAACATGAGCTGGGATTCTGGATTTCTGCATGAAATCTCCCAGTTGGCCAACTGTTGGCAACAAATTTCTCTTTAAAAAGTCACACACTCTTTGCACAGGCCAAAGAAACATGGGGGGCCCCCTAACACGTGGGGAGTGGTCATCTCGGTCTCCAGTCCACCCCGTCAGGCCTCCACCCAAGGCCTCTGCCCCCAACCCTGGGCACAATAGACGGCTGTCTAAGAAAACGGGCTGCAGGAGACCGCGGGAGGGCAAGGCCACTGCAGGGCCCCCACGCCAGGCCGTGCCCGTGTCAGGTGGACTACGGCGGCACAGCGGAGGAGCTGGAGGCCTACTTCAACCAGTGCGGGGAGATCCGCCGGGTCACCATCCTGTGCGACAAGTTCTCCGGACACCCCAAGGGGTCAGTGCGGGGCCCAGGGAGGGGCCGGGTGCCCAGGGTGCTGCCGAGGATGGGTGACCCAGGGTGGGCCCTCACCTGCCCCCACCCCCACCCCCACCCCAGTTATGCCTATATAGAGTTTGCCACAGAGAGTGCAGCCCAGACCGCTGTGGAGCTGGATGAGAGCATCTTCCGAGGCCGGGTCATCAAGGTGCGTGCCCCCACGAGTCACTGCGCACCTTGGGGAGCTGGGGGTGTGGGCTCTGCTCTGAGCTTCTCTACGTTAACCTGTTACCCCCCAAGGGGTCAGAAACAGCAGGCACAAGGAGGCCGAGGCACTTCCCCATGACACAGCTGCCCCGGCCTGCTGCTTAGCCAGTCTCATTTTCAGTCTCCGAGCATCTCTGGGCACATCCGCTGGGCGGCAGGGGCAGGGTGGGCGGGGGCCCGTCAGACCCCAGCAGGTTTGGCCCAGGTGTGGTACTGGGGAGGCTCCCCTGCTGAGCCAGACCCCCCACACACACCACATAGGGAGAGATGTCGGCTTGACAGGGGCATGGCACCAGACCACAGCTTGTGGCTGGACAGTTTGGGCCTAAACAGGGATCTTGAGAAGGTCTGGAACGGGTTAGGGTCTGATTCCTCAGATGGCTCCATGCCCTGGAGTCTCAAGGGCCTGGTGAGCACTGGGGTCTGTGCATATCTGCCTGTGAGCCTCCAGGAGAGAAAGCTAGGAAGGCTTCCTGGAGGCAAGTTTAGCCAAGATGGGATACAAGAATAGGGGTCTCAGACCGGCTCAGCCTCTGGTTCCAGGTGCTACCCAAAAGGACCAACTTACCAGGGATCAGCTCCACGGACCGCGGGGGTCTGCGGGGACACCCAGGTGCTAGGGGAGAAGCCCTCCCCCACAGCAGCCTCCAGGGCGGAACCCGCTTCAGGCCACGGGGGCGGGGCCGGTGAGTGGGGGCGGGGCCCTGGAGGGCGGGGCCGGGAGGGCGGGGGGGGGGGGGCCGGGGGGGGGCCGGGGGGGCGGGGCCCGGGGAGGGCGCTCATCTCCCCTTCCTGCCTCTGTCCGCGCAGGTGCCGTGCAAGATGCTCGCCATGGTATTCACCATATTGAAGAGATGACTGGACTCAGAGTGGGGCTGGCTCAGGAGTAACCACCAGTCGCCACGTGGGACCATTTATGCCAGAGGGCCGGGTCTGGGGTGCTGTGGGGGTCATAGGGCAGGCTGGCAGGACGGATGGCAGGGAAGCAGGGGCTCAGCGGAGAGCTGGTGGGCGTCCAGAAAAACCGCCCCTGACCCTCCTCTGGGTGGGAGGACAGCCCACCAGGGCCTCGCTGGGCTGAGGCCACAGAGGTGAGAAGCAGGGCACGCGGTGTGCCTGGCATGGGAGTGCTACTCGGGCGTTGGAGGGCACTGGGCAAAGCTCCAGGCAGGTGAAGCCCAGGCAGCAGAGTCAGCTCGGGTTGGGATACTTGGGGTTCTTGGACTCTCTCATTTTAAAGAAAAACAGAAACGTGTGTCTTAATGGTAAAGCATAAATTATTAAATTTGAATAATTTTTAAAAGCACGTGACAACGGACCTCTCCTTTATTCTCTTCTCTTGGACACCTGTCCAGTCTGTGCTTCTCAGGTGGGACTCCACAAAAAGGCAGGTGTAGGAGTGAGGCTGTGGGTCCCAGGGCGGGCTGGACCCCACTTCACTGCTGACAGCCAACGGGCAGCGTTGGGGTTTGCGGTGTAACCGCCAGCTCCTGGCTACAGAGGAAGCATAGCTAACCGTGTCTTCACTCCAGGTTTGGCAGCCTCCAGGGCACACGCTCCCCCGTAGCGAGTGACAGACACCTGCCTCTGTGTGTCCTCCCCTGTGAGTTGCTGGGGGTGGGGGGCGGGGCACACCTCGTCACCTGGGACAGGCCTGGCCCTCGTCAAGGGTTCAGGGAGCAGAAGGGGAGCTTCCACGCTGGGCGCCCTGCTGGCCCCTGGAGCCAACTCGCCCACTTTCTGCCTGGAGGTGTACAATGTCCTTCAGTGCACACACACTTGGTTCTGGCGTTAAATCACTAACAGACCTGTCTTGGCCTTTCTACTGCCATTCTCTTCACCTTGCTGTGCTTATTTACCAGTTCCTTAAGCCACGAACAGCTGCTCTGTGCTTCAGTCCATGGTGGTGGTCCGTCCCCAGTCCCCTTCTCCAGCACTGGCAAAGACAGCATTCTCTGGGTGGGGGGCAGCCGCCTCTGCACTCTCCACCCACATGCGTCTCTGACTTCCTCCCTCAGGCAAGGTCCACACTCCCCTTGTGATCTGGGGTCAACGTTGGCCCTTGTAGTGGGGTAAATAATGGCCCTGCCCAAAAAATATGTCCACATCCTAATCTCCAGGACCTGTGAACGTGGCCTTATCTGGAAAAGAGGTCTTTGTGACATAGTTAAGAGAAAGAGCTCGGGATGAGAGCATCCTGGATCATCTGGGCCCTAAATCCAATGCCATACACTGGATGTGAGAGCACACACAGAGATGTGCAGGCAGAGGTGGAGTGGCGTGTCTACAAGCCAAGGAAACGCGAGGATTGCTGGCAGCCGTAAGAAGCTGGTGAGCTGTAGGACGGACCCTCCTGAAGGAGCCAGCCCTGCGGACACCTTCATTTCTGGCTCTGGCCTCCAGACCATGAGGGAGCAAACTGCTGCTGCTTTAGCTGCCTGGTGAGGGGGTAGGAGATGTCGCGTCGGGGAACCCTCCCAGGCTGCCAGGTGGCTCAGGGTGGAGCCGTGCGTGGCCTGACCATTCGCAGGTGGGGGCTGCAGAAGGGGCACGCGCCAGGACGCACGGCCCTGAGCTGCAGTTCGCCAGCACCACGCAGACGGCACCACCTCCGCCACTCGGCACTGCGGGCTGTTCCCCTTCCTGGTCTTGATGTGGTCCCCGTGCCATGGCTTTCCTGTGCAGTGCCCAGCAATCTTCTACCCCGAGTAGGTGCTTCTCTTTTGGAAGTGTTTTCTTGATCCCTTGTTTGGCCACTGTGAGGAGTGGGCCCGGGAGGCCATCCTTGCCTGTGGGTCTCAGGCCTGAGCAGGCCGAGGCAGGGGGAAGACCGAGAGCATTCCTGGATGTGGCTGCCACGTGGGTGCTGAGGGCTCCCCGGTGAGCCTCGGAGCAGACCCGCACAGGCCGAGACACACAGGCTCCCCTTGCCCCTGCTGCTCTGGGGCAGGAGGAAGGGGAGAGAGTGGCGCTGATGCCCGAGGGAAGACACTGCTGACAGTGCACTTCAGCAGAAGTCTCCTGGAGCAACAGCCAAGGGCTGACTAGGAGCTGCACGGACGGGGCTGCCGCGGAGGGATGGGCCTGGGGGCCAGGGGGCCAGGCAGATGGCCCTCAGTGAGGCCAACCTCACGGTATAGAGATGCGAAAAGATACCATGAAACTGCCCCCTGATGGTTCTGTTGGCAGAACAAAGGCTAGCAGGTTACTTCTAACCCTTGATTTTCTCAGGCTTAAAATTGGGACGCTATCTAACAATGTGTGTGGAAACTCCCCAATGTAAAAAGTATTTACGGGTTGATCTGGCTGCACCTACAGAAAAACCCAAATAGAAGTAGCTTAAAAAGATACGGGTTTATTTTCTCACATAAAAAAAATGCTAACATAAGTAGTCCAGGGCTGGTATGTCAGCAAAAACCCAGGCTCCTTCTAGGTTTCTGCTCTCCCATCCTTAGTGGGTGGATCTTGTCCTCCTCCTCTCAAGATGGTTGCCTAAGCTCTAGCCATCACCTCCAAGTTCCAGGGAGGAAAAAGGAAAAAGATGAAGAAAGGGTACTCCACTTGCCAGCTGAATCCCCCTTTAAAGTGTCTTTCCTGCAAGTCCCTACCAACACCATCCATTTAGGTACCATAACTGCCTACCCTTGTATGCTGCGGAGGGTAGGAAGTATCTTCTGTCTGGTCAATTGTCCCCAGTAACACTGGGGTTCTGTTAATAAGGAAGCAAGAGAGAATGGGTGCTGGGTTGGCAATTTGCAGCCCCTAGCACAGCCGCTACCCAGGCAGGAGAGACTACCGAAGCCCCACCAGAGACAGGAGCTGCACTGCAGGGAAGACGTCCGGGTGTGGGCAGCCTGCGGCCCACTGGCATCGGAACCAGCACCTGCGTGTTGGTGCTTCTCGGCCCTCCTCGAGGTCTTCAAGTCCACGTCCAGCAGGGGAGGAGGGGGCGTGGCGGCGGGGACTTACATGTTTCTCACACACTCTCTGCTCATTTTTCCCCTTACTTCTGTAACGTGAAGAATCGATCCTGTGCTGGTTAGACAGGCAGAAACCCAAAGGCTTGCAGAGTGAGTCCAGCTGAGCTCCAGCCCTGGGCCCGCGAGGCTGCCAGCCTTCCCTGACGCCCTGGGCCGCCTCACTGTGCTCAGGACCCTCTTCGGAGCGGCTGAGAGGGTAAGAGGGGCTCACAGCTGCCCCGGGGAGCCCGAATCAAGGAAGCCAGCAGCTCAGCAGACGAGGAGCAGACTCTGCGTGGGGCTCAGGCCCAGCAGGTACTCACTGCCTCTCTCACTTCATGGGCCATGTTGCCAAATGACAAAGGCACGAGAACCTGGGCCACCTGATCCCACAAGGGGCTGTCACCAATCACAGTCAGCTAGTTAGACAATCATCTGAACTCGGCTGAGGAGGCTTCTGCGGAAGCAGAAGGCAGAAATCCACGTGCATCACCCTCTCCTCAAACGCAAGCCCCCGACGCCACCGCAGCGGGCCCCTGGGCACGGGGACAGCAGGGGAGGGGAACTCACCTCCTGGGCCGCGTCTGGCCCTCGGGCCATGAGGAAGCGCCCAGGTGGAAGAGGGCTCTTGCACGTGACTCCTTCAGCTCAGAAAGCAAGCAGCAGCCGAGGAGACGCTGCAGTCACAGGAGGCTCCTGGGTCTCCTGAGGGCTGCCTCCCAAGGCTGGGCTGGGCCCAGAAAGAGGACTTCTCCCCTTGGGGAAGGCATGCGGCTGTCCCATATGCCCCTCTCCATCTGGTTCTGGGCACAGACAGCCCACTGGTCAGCCACTGCAGAGCACAGAGGGCAGACAGCAAAGCAAAGAAGCGAGCCCACGGGTCCCTGTGTGCCTTCATCTGCCACCCCACTCCCCATGCCCCTTCACACCTACTGGGCACGACGGCTCTCCACTCTGTCTGGTCCCTGACCTCTGCGCCCAGCCCCAAAAAGTCCCGTGTTAAACTCCCTTTAGTCAGACCCTCTGCTGACAGAGATGGAAAACGCCACATCTGATCTCACAGGACCTTTAGTCGACACGTGCTGTGCTCGAGGCCTCGTCCCCGGCAGCACGTGCAGGACACTCGGGAAAAGGCAGAGGATAATAAATACATGGCTAGACACTCCAGTTATGTACAGAAGTCTTCTCTCCCAGATGACGTGCAGCAGAGTGCTCGCTCAGCAGACCTGGATCATCATAGACGTCACCATGCTGTCGAACGCCCTGCGGAGAAGCAGACCAAGTCAGAGAAGCCCCCATGCTCGCCAGCAGAGGGACAGGCTCAGCACACCGCCAGGCCTGGACACCAGGGGCGGCGGTCTCCACGGTCCAGATAATCAACTCGGTGGAGAGGCCAGGATGTGCGTCCAGCCACAGCAGGGGATGAGAGCCTCCTGCCTCACCGCTCAGCCCCTGGGCAGGGTCTCCATGCAGAGCTGGAGGAGCTGTGCATGGGCATGGAGGCTGGGGTGCAGTGAGCACAGCAGCTGCCCCTGCCCTGAGCGGCCCGGGAGACACAGGCTTCTGCATGCTTCTCCCACCTGGGACCCAGGACAACCAGACACAGTGTCACAGCTGAGGGAAGGTGCCACGGGAGGGCCTGGCTTGGATTACTGCAGTGTCCTCTCCCCTGGTGGCTACAAGGAGCCCCTGGGCACTGTGCCTAGGGATGCTGGGGTTCCCAGGAGCAGGTGTGAAGAGTGTGCACACAAATGCTTCTCTGTGAAGCATCTTCGTGATGGTCCCACATTAAGACTGCGTTTATCTGAAGACTATTTGGAAGATCCCTGCAATTCCATTTCCTAACCGTCCAAGTTCAGCGCCAAAGACAGAATCAGGCAGTGACAAGGGGAAGTTTTCTCCCGAAAGGCCCCTGTCCATATGTCTGGGCCCTTGCTGGGTTCTGTGGAGGTGCCCCTGTGCCTGCTGGGCGCAGGTGGGAAACCAAATGGGCGAGCCCTGCCTGCCGCTGAGCCCTAGCTGCCCTCCGTCTGCTTCCTGTGTTGGAGATCCCTGTAAGAGTCTGTTTGGAAAAACAGGCTTCTGCTGCTTCAAAATCACTTAAAAAGACGTTCTCTCCCTCGCTCTCAGGATCGCTGCCTTTAGCAGGGCTACAAACGGCAGAAGGTGGCAAACCCCGGGGGGCAGCGGCCCACCTGGACTGGATGCGGTCCCCCGGGTTGTAGAAGGGGTTGCACATCACATCTGTGTAGGAGCTGTGCAGCTTCCGGAACATCTGAAACAAGAACCAACAACGTTTTAATCCACATGTACTCATGGCTACTGCCAAACTTTTGGCCTCTCAGCATCTCTAAACAAAGGGGAAAAAATAAAACAAACCGGCCCAGGCCTGGCCTGCGCCTCCCCCGGCTTACACTGCGGATCTCGTTGTCCCGCAGCGCCGTGTTGGAGGAATCCACCACCATGACAAACTTCACCCTGGAGTTGGTCACGTAGCCGTATCTGCACAGCTGGTTAGGGAAGGTGCTTTAGCACGGGCACTCTGCGACAGCATGAAACACAGCATCACCGTGGAAAGCGTGGAAGCAGAGGGCCATCTATGCACGTCCCCGCACTCCAAAGCCACTTTGCAAAAACAGGACAGCCTTGCATCACAGGAAGTGCCCAAAGCTGGGCCGTCCCAGCCCAAAGAAGACCAGCCATTCAACATTACCTGATCCTACAGTACACCTCGGGCCCAATCCCCAGATGCAAAACCCCGAGGGAAGAGACCCTCACTGACAGGCCCCCCACAGGCGTGAAGGATACACCTTGTAGTCCTCTGTGGGGTACAGCAGGCCCAGGTAGAGCTCCCTCTGGTCCACCAGGGCCTTCCCCATGGCCGAGATCTTCTCGTCCACCACGTCCAGGGATGTGTGCACCATGTAGTGGAACTTCAGCTCATTCTCCGTGGGGACGCTGCGGATGTAGAGAGGGTAATTCTGCAAGAAAGGATGACAGCAACTGAAGTGATGAGAATCCACCCCGTGCACTGATGACGAAAAGGAGGCCAGAGCACTCAGGAGGGAGAAACAGCCAAGCGCCAACCAGCAGGGAGCATGCTCTCCTTCTTGAAAACTCTTTCCTAACTCTGAAGGCACTGCCTTCAGGGGACCCAATCTCACCTGAGGTTTATATATTGTCTGCAAAGGGGCATCACTAGGGTGGGCAGAAAAGAGAAGACAGCTCCGAAAAATGGATTTGAGCACAGCCTGACAACTAACTCGGTCACCTAGACAGGTCAGCCACCTGCCATGTGGGGCCCGGTCCTAGCGCGCGCTCTACTCCTGGCCCCGGAAGACTGGCTGCTTCCCAGTACTCCACCCACCACTGTCTTCTCAGCCCAGCAGAGACACTGGCAGGCCCTCTCAGCAAACCCTTCAGGGCTCCTCCCTTCACCTCTGCACAGCCTTCCTGACCAGCCTAACCGCGGAATTAACAGTGTCTTCCCGGGGCTCCACGTGCCACAATTCATGCTTCTATCCCATGCCTGGCGCTGCACACAACGCTCTGCCTACTCTAATGGGGCTGACATCTGGTGAAGGAGATAGTCAACAAACCAGCCAACAAGGAGGTAACGCGTTGTAGGGGAACGCGCTGAACTGGACTCAGAGAGCTTCGCAGCGGGACCGCCCGTAAGCCTGGTCTTCTAGGAGACACGGCTTTGTGCAGCAGGAGCACGAGGACGGCCACCCAGCTCAGTCTTAGGATTCAGAAACAGCTTTTAGGAGAAATGAAATCTATGGGGGCCAGGGAAGGGATGGGAGTGGGGAAGAGGGGTTCCAAGTGCGAAGACCCAAAGGTGAGAGAGCAGAGCCGTCGGGGAGCTGCAAGAATTCCGCTGGGTTGGAGTGGAAGGATGTCAGGGGTATGAGGGACGGGGATGAAGCGACCAGGTTATTTAGACATTATTCTAAATCAGTGAGAAGCCACTGGAGAGGTTTTAGGCAGGTGCATGGCACGATGTAATTTGTTTTCCAAACAGCACTGTGGCTGCGGTGCGGACACTGTCAGTGGTCCGGGTGGGCGCGGTGGAGGAGGACGGAGAGGCGTGGACGGCCAGACGCGGGGGCAAGAAGGCACAGAGCCCGCGCCCGGACAGGACAGAAAGTCAGGGCTGTGGGCGCCGGGGGCCACTCCGGCAGGAGCAGGTGCGGGTCTGGGAGGGGCCTGCCCGGACCGCCCCGCACCCCCGGCGCTCGACGAGGCCTTGGGGCCCGCCCTTCCGGAGCCCGCGGGCAGGGACGGAGCGGACGGCGGAGAGCGCGGGCGGGGCCCGGCCGGGGTCCCGGGGCCGCCCTCCGCGGGGCCGCCCGCGTACGCACCTCCTTGGCGATCACCGCCACGCACACCGCCATCTTGGGAGGTCTGCGGCCGCGTCACGTGACCCCGCCGCCGGTCACGCAACCGCCAGAGCCCCGCCCCCGGATCACGGGGTTGGTTAGGACCCGCCAGTCTCGTCACGCGACCGACCCACGCCCCAACCCGTCGGTCACACGGCTGGCCCTGGCCCCGCCCCTCCTGTCACTCAGCCCGCCAGGGCCCCGCCCCTCCGGTCACGCGGTCGGTCCAGGCCCCGCCCCGCCGCCCTGCCGGAAGGGCCGCCAGTCGCTTCCAGACGCTGACCGGGCTCTGCTGCTCCCGGCGCGGTTGCTATGGCGGCGGTTACCGCGGTGACGAGGTGGCGGCTGCTGCTGGTGCTGAGCACTGCAGCACTGGGGGCCGCGGGCGCCCCGCAGCCCCCCAACATTCTGCTGCTGCTCATGGACGACGTGAGTGTAGGGTGGGCCGGGCTCCGGGAGGGCTGCGCGCGGGCTGCCGTGGGCCGCCGTGGGGGTTCTGCGGGGGCGGCCGGCGGTGGGGCAGCGCCTGGCCCTGCGGAGGCAACCGCGCGGGCGATGAAGCCGAGGTGAGGTATCGAGTCCAGGCTGCGCCAGGAGATCCCTCCTGTGCTCTTCCCTTTTCCGCTCCTCCCGCCCGCGGAGGACGGAGGGCCAGCCCAGATCAGCGCGGCTCTGGCCGATGAAGACAGCTCCCCGGCACCCCTGCACAGCCTTCACCCCCCAGTGCCTGGGGTGTGTGGGGCAGGGAGGGGTGCAGAGCTGACCCAGACCCAGCGCCGGCCAGCCTGCCTGCCTGCCTGCCTTGGAGCTCGCTTCCCTCTGCCTTGGGCTACTGGACCTGCCCGGCCCCCGGGCTATCCTTGTCCAGCAGGGCAGGCTGCTCCCGCCCTGCCAAGAAGTCTGGCCAAAAGTCAGGTCTTTGTGGGGCCTGGAGGAACTGAACCGGGAGGAATGTCCCTGGTTGTGTGTGTGCAGCCCCGGGCCCCCAGTGACACCGGTGACGCTGGTTGGTCAAGCCCACAGAGGTTAGCAGGATTCCTGGCTGGGAGCTGAGCTGTACACTTGTCGCTTTGTGGTTGTGTCCAGTGTTCCTTACCCGAGGAGGCTGGGATGCGATGGAGATTCTGAAATCAGTCAATGTGAGGCATCGGGGTAAAGCTGGAGCCCGCACACACGTGGGCGCAGATCCCACTGCCCCCTGAGCTCTGGGAAGGCCTTGGAGCTCTTTGGCCCCTGTCCTGGCCATAACCAGCTCTGGGAGCGTCTTTACTTGAGGGAGGGTGATGTCGGGAGCTCCCCTGCCTGGGTGCCCCAGGGTGGGGCAGCAGGAAAGGGGAACAGCCAGCCAGGAGGCCCAGTGCCAGGCCCCTCCTGTGCAGCTTCCTCCTTGTAGCTACAGGGTTCTTAGACAGCTGAAACCCAAAGAAGCCTGGCAGACCTCTGTGCTGGTCAGCGAATGTGGGTTACTCAGGACTTTTTTGGTAGCAAATGAGAGAAAACGTACTCAAAGTGACTTAAGCAGAAATGGGAACCCCAGCTATCCTGACTGGATGGCTTCAGGCCGGTGGGATCCAGAGGCCCCCACTCCCCCAGCTCTGTGTCCTCACTTGGCCTCGTCCACCCCGACGGTCAGCAGACCCAGTGGGAGGGCACACTGCCCAGCCCCCTGAGCCAGGGTCTCGGGGGAAGGGGTCTGCTGGCCTGTCCAGCTGGGGCCTCGAGCCCACCCCGGGGAGGGCCGCTTGGGGAGCCGGACGAGGACAATTATGGCGAGGCTTGCAGACCCCTCAACTGCCCAGGGTGGCACCTGGGGAGGGTAGGGATGGCATCTGTCTCCTTCCTCAGCCTGTCCTCAGACCCAGGACAGGCCCCCTGTACACGTGTGTGGAATGAGTTTAGAAGACACTGAGAACCATTTCTTCTCTGGAGCTGACTCATCACCGTTGTCCAAGGACAATGGGGCCCTAGGGACAGGGGGCCAGAGGCTCCCTCCTGGGGTATCCCAGACCACTCCTGCTCCCAAGGGCCCGGGCACTTCCTTGTCTTTAATATAGGACTAGGAAGGACTTCTCCGCCTACTGAGGAGGTTTAACGTTGGACTGTACAGAGGCCAACTCTGGTGTCACCATGGTGGGCCCATCAGTGGGGGCTGCAGCCTGAACCTCCAGAGCCAAACAGTGGACCCTGTGTGTCCTTCGGTGTGTGATCACGTGGATGAGCACATGGCCAGAGTGTCTTCATAATCATCCCTCGCAGCCAGCCACGAGTGAGGCTTGCATTGATCAAAAGTCTGGAAATTCTAAGTAGAGGAGAAGCCGAGGGCAGGAGGAGGCCATAACTCCTGGGTCCTGGCTGCTTTTGCTTCTGTGAACGTGGGCAGCCACGTAGGGGAGGGAAGAGATACTTAACGCTGCCTGCAAAACCCGCATGGGGTCTCTTCCCTGATGGCTTCATTTCACCCCAGTGACTCTGCAAGGTGGATGTGAATGTCCCTGTTCTCATAGCTGAGAAAGCTGACCAATTCGTAATAATAGAATGGTACTGAGCAGAAGAGTTAGTGCAGCAGGCTGATGGCTGCCGGTCTCAGAGAGGCCCACCAGGAGGCCGGTCGGCCCTTGGCCGGCGTCAAGGACCTGGGATTCAGGGAGGCCCCCCCACTCCCTGAGGAGAGGCTCTTGTGCTGAACTGTTCCTTCCTCCCAGAGGCTGGAATTTTGGTGGGTGCCAGGTAAGGGGTGGCCCCATGACCAGCCCCCCTGCCTCTCTCTGCTCCTCTGACCTGGGATGTGGCGGCCTAGAGGTACAACAGCCACCCACGCCCGCGAGGACAAATCTGCATGCTGGGGTGCTCCTGCCTGCCTCCCTTTCTTCCTGCCAGCCGCCCCTCTCTCCAGGCATGCGTTTCATCCCAGCTCCTGTTGTCACCGAATGTCTTCAAAATAAACCACCTCCAAAGGGGCCAAAAGCCGAAAGGGCCAAATCCAGGTCTGCGCCACCCAGAGGGCCCCTGAGAGCAGACGCACAGTCGGCTCTTGGCGCCCGGTGTGTGATGCCCAGCCTCGAGCTGCCAGGCCCGGCGGAACACCGGCACTGTGCTTCGCGCCTCACACAGTCCTCCCAGTTCAAGTGGGGTTCATTGGTTGCTAGTAAATTCATGGCATCGTGCGCCCATCACCACAGTCAGCCTGAGGTCATTCTCCTCACCCCAGAAGAAACCCTGTCTCCGTTGGCGGTCACCCCCGTGCCTCGTTCACCCTGGCAACCGCTAATCTGCTTTCTGTCTGTGGATTTCCCTTCTCTGGATGTTTCTTATAAATAGGATCCTACATCTGTCCTTCTGTGACCCACTTCCCTCACGTGGCATCTTGTTCTTGAGCTTCTCCACGTGGTCACCGTGTGGGTGCTTCACTCCGCTCTACGGCTAGTTGTGTTCTGCCGTGTGGATGGACCACGTTTCATCAGTTCATCTGTCGATGGACGCTGCTTGTATCCACCTCTCAGCGATCATAAGCAGTGCTGCTGGGAACACGCATGTGCACGCTCTCACGTGGTCGTGTTTTTGGACTCTGGATTGCCGGAGTGGAATCGCTGGGTCCAACGGGCACTTGGTTTGGCTCTTGGAGCACCTTCTCGGGGGGCAAGGATTTGAGGGAAGACCCCACTCACGCGGGCTGCAGCTCCCTGGGCCCCGCTCTGCAGCCGGAGCTCCCCCTTCTTCAGGGGAAGCGGGGACAGCGTTGAATCATTGTGGAAGCGACGCCCTTGGGGCTTACGCTGAGGGGACATTTAAGGAGACTGGTTTGGAGGGACCTTGTCGCAGTTGACGAATCCGGAGGAGAACCAACGCCACCAGGCCAGGCCGCGTCCCGCCCGCCCGTGATGCTGAGGGGAGTCCTGGTGTCAGGGCTCCCCCCAGGACGTGGGCTCCAGAAGGATGCGTTCAGTCGGCAAGTAAAGTTCATGTCCCCATGTCCTTTTCGAAGTGTTGTTTAAAAATGTCTTAGGACGACAGTTCAGAAACACACAGCGAAGGTGGAAGAGCGCTACGGCGCACCTGCTGGGGATCCCCCGCCAGTCTCCTCTCCTCCTGGCTTCATCGCGGGTCTGTGCGTCCACCCACGCCTGCCCACGTGTTAACATGTCTTACCACTGGGCTCGTTTGATTTTGGTACAGTGCATTTAACATAAAATTGACCGTTTTAACCATTTTTAAGTATACAGTTCAGTAGCATTTAGCACATTTGCAATATTGTGCGTTCACCAGTGCCATCTAGTTCCAGAACATTTTTGTCACCCCAAAAAGAAACCCTGTCCCCAGTGCAGTCACTGCCCGTTCCCCTCCCCCAGCTCCAGGCAACCATTAGTCTGCTTTATGTCTGCGGCTTTGCCTGTTCTGGACATTTCGCGTGAATGGAATCAGACCATAGGCGGTCTTGTGTGTCTGGCTTTTCTCACTGAGCGTCACGTTTTCCAGGTCATTCAGGCCACAGTGTGTCAGAGCCTCACTCCTTTCGTGGCTGAGTAGTATTGCATAGTGTGCACATTAGTTTCTCAGGACATAAATTACTGCAAACTTGCTGCCTTAGAGGAACAGAAATTTATTCTCTCCCAGTTCTGGAGGCTAGCGTCTGGAAGCACGGGGTCACAGGGCTGGCTTCCCTCTGTGAAGGCCGGGATTCTCTGTGAGCCAGCAGCGTTGGGGTAGGACTGGAAAGGGGTGGCCGGGTGGCTGTGCCCACCAAGAGGAGCCGGCACCTGTGACCGAGCCCCACGTGCTGGCGCCAGTGCCCGCACCCGGGCCCCTGGCCTGTTCCCACTCATCTTCCCCGGGACGGAAGGAGGCTCATCCCATCTCTCTCTGCTCTTTCCTGCAGATGGGGTGGGGTGACCTGGGGGTGTACGGAGAACCTTCCAGAGAGACCCCAAATTTAGACCGGATGGCCGCTGAAGGGATGCTTTTCCCGAACTTCTACACGGCCAACCCCCTGTGCTCACCGTGTAAGTCGGGGCTGGTACCGGGCAGGGGGAGGGACGGGGCACGGGCGTTTCCTCTGAGGGCCCAGAGCACGGGCAGGCGGGCTGTGCCCTTCCCTGGGATCCTGGCGCTGGCAGCACCCGGGCTCCGGCCATGCAGGCAAGGCCGGGAGAGGCCCAGGGGCTTGAGCCTCTAAGGACCCTTGAGGTGAAAGTCACTGCCAGCGGCAGGGCTGCTGTTCTGATTCCTGGAGCTGAGCTGCCACTGGCTGGGGAGGTGCCTCTGGCCATGGGGGTGGGGTCAAAGGGCGGGAGGCAGGGGGTCCCTTCCTCAGGGAGAGACCCACCCCTGCTGAGAGGTAGGGCGTACGTGCTGATCTTGAGGCAGAGAAGTAACGCCTCCCGGGGCGGGGGGGCGTGAGGAGAGGCCTGTGGACCCTGCGCTCCTCGTGGCCCACCTGGACCTGTCTGTGCAGGGGTGGTCTGCCCACCCTGGCCCTTAGGAGGCAGGCGGGATTCACAAGCGCCGGGAGCAGAGCCGGTGGCGAGTCTGACAGGTGGCGCCCACCTCATGGCCTCTCTTTTATCACCTCCATGTAGCGCGGGCGGCTCTGCTCACTGGACGTCTGCCCATCCGAAACGGCTTCTACACGACCAGTGGGCACGCCAGGAACGGTACGCTGTGCACTCAGAGTGCTCCTGCAGCATGGGGGCCCAGGACAAGGTGGGGTGCGGGGGGGACATCTGCCACCTGCTCACCTGGAACCCTCCCTCTCCAGGGCAACACTCCTTGCTCAGGTTCAAAGGCTTTGTTTGGGTTATAACGTGTCATTTTAAAACAGACTGCAGCATTTCCACCAAAAACAACACGTTGTAGGCAAGTAGAGAAGAAGGTGAGGTCAGTGCGAGGGCTCGGGGACCAGGACGGGGCCAGGCCTCCTTCCTGGCTCCCGCTCTGACCAGACGGCTGAGGCCCACAGGCAACACTCACAACTCCTTCCCTGCCCCGTCCTGTCCCCAGGGCTTCCCAGCATGGGCTGGCGAGTTGGGAATCTCCCGAGGAGCTGCTGCCCTTTTGCGGGGGGGCAAGCTATACGCCCACAAAGAGACCTGAGAAAGCCAGGTGCTGTGGGTCCAACCAGGGAGCGTGCTGGGACAATCATGCTCCAGGGCCAGCCTCACAGACAAGAGGGATTTCATGTGGCCATTGAAGAAGGGAGGCCTGGCCAGAGCAGGCCCTCATGGTGTCAGATGGGGTGTTCCCGAGACCCCAGGGGGACCAGCAGAGGGGTCAGGAGGCTGGGGCTCTGTCCTGATGGTCCAGACCCCTCTGGGACCGGTGGTTTGCCCCATCTCCACCTGGTAACGGTGCAGACTTTGAGGCGGTGCCAGGAAGACCCCAAAGGGCCACACGGCAGTGGCAGCTCCTAACCAGGGCTTTGCCGTTGACCCTGAGGGTCCAGGGTTCAGATGTGTCACCTTCTGTAGCATGGCCTCCTCCACATGTGCACATGGCTCACACGCTGCCTCGCTCTTCCAGCCTACACGCCGCAGGAGATCGTGGGCGGCATCCCAGACTCGGAGCGCCTCCTGCCCGAGCTGCTGAAGGAGGCCGGCTACGTCAGCAAGATCGTGGGCAAGTGGTGAGTCCTGACGCTCGCCTGCCTGGCGTGTTCCGCACGAGGGATCCTTACTAAACCCTTCCAGACAGGGAGGACTTCTTGGCTGGCGAGTGGGGCCTCTGAGTCCCAGGTCCTTTTAGAAAAAGCATTCCTTTAAAAGCTGGCATGGCCATACTGGGGGACCTCCTGTCACAAGGCTGGGTCCTCAGCCGCGAGTCCATGAACTCCTCGCACATCACGTGTCCCAGCCACCCGCCCCTTCCCTCTGCTCTTGTCCCTGGGCTGCCTGTTGCTGCAGCGTCACCAGAGGAGCCACATTATTGCACACACGGTACCGTCACAGGTGACACACCTTGTCAGCAAGCACGAGGCTCTGTCTGGCAGTGAAGTGAAAATGCAGCCAGGAGGTAGAGGACAGTCGTGAGCTGTGGAGTCACCGGATCGAATGATTGTGTCATAGCTCATGTGGCTGCACACGCCGTTTACACTGTTTCAAGCACGTTAAAGAGTTTCTCTCTCTTACTCCCAGGAGGATGCCCAAGTGAGCAGCCCTGGAGGGTTCGTGTAAAGGTGAAATGTCTCTTTCCTTTCCCAAATGTTGAGGCCCTTGGAGACTAGCAAGGTCGCTTCCTACAGGAAGCCTTTCCTGATTTTCCAGCCCTTATTGTCTTTCCTTCACTGCACTGTGGCCCTTCTGCTCTTAACCCCTGTGGCACTCACTGGTGCTGCTTTCTCGAGGACAAGCGCCTTGTCTGCGCCCCTCAAGCACGGCCACTCCACACACGTTGACAGTCATGGTGACGAAGGATCTGCAGATACCAGGAGAGTAGTTGTCAGAAACTCCCAGTGACCCAGAGAAGACTTGATGAATGCCTTCTCACTCCTGAGACAAGGTGGGGGCCGTCCTGCCCAGCGGACGAGCTCCGAGCAGATGGTGGCTGCAGAGCAGAGCTGACAGGGGTGCCCTGGGCCTCAGGCACCCTCCCAGCCTGCATGGTCCCCAGCAGCGCCAGGGAGACTGTGGTGGAGGGCAGCCACAGGGCCTGCCAGAGCCAGGTCAGGGCTGTGCCAACAGAAGGCAGAGCCCTAGCAGGCACCGGAGTTCTCTGTGCCCATCCGATGGCTCTGTTCCAGGTCCAGCAGCCTCTCATTCACGGTGTTTGACTTGGGGCCACCAGGGCTGGAGTGCGAGTGTGCCTCCATGAGCTCTTGAGGTTTGTGACAACCATACAGGAGAGAGGTGAACCCAGGAGGGGAAGAGGAGTCGGGCAGGGGCTAGAGAAGCAGCCCGTGTGGACTGGGGTGGTAGACGCAGTGCTGGTGGACCAGCCAGGGTCAGGGCGACCGTGGCCAGTGCAAGGACGGGCTTTCAGAGGCCTGGGCAGAGGGCTCGGCCTCTCCTCCACCAGGTGGGGGTCCTGGTCTCAGCAGGGTCCCATAGGGCCATGGTGAGTGTTGGCGGCTGAGGCTGTGACTGCCTGATGCCCTGCCTCCAGTCCCCAGTGCCAGGGATGCGGATTCCCTCAGCCTGACCAATCCTGGGTGGACAGGGCCTAGACGCCCGTAAGAGGCCATGCCACAGGGGACTGTGACAGGCTGCCACCCAGCTCACCTGCGGGCAGTGCTGGCCCGCCTGCTGTTTGGTGCAAGCACTTTGAATTGACGATTTAATGTGAGCGGACCCTTGGCCAGGTGTTTCTGTTAAGCAAAGGCCGTTTGAGCTGACAGATGTGGGCATGCAGCAGTGTCACACACAGCCAGCGTGACTTCCTCCCAGCAGGTGCTGGAGTAGGACACTGAGAAATGGCAGGGCATCATCGCATCAGGCCCAGAGAGGATGTGAGATTCAGGGAGGCAGCTCAAAGCACAGAGCTGGCAGTGAGGTTTCTGCAGAGAGAGGAGTCGCGTAGGGCCGGTGCTCGTGTACCTGGCAGAGGAGGCTCGAGGGGCCCTAGGTAGGCGCTGCGTGGCCGTCCGGGGCCGAGCGTTTTAGAGCTAGCAGTGGGGAACTGAGGCCCCAAGAGACACACTTCCTGGCGCCCACACTCAGTTGCTGACCGGCTCAGTTCTGGCCCCAGCCAAACCAGCCCCTCCACTGCCCACGCCACGTCCTCCCTGACCGAGTGAACAAGCTGTGCAGTGAACTCATGATGACTTGGGCTCTGTGTGTCCGGAGTAGCCTCCGAGTGGTCAGGGTGAGGCCTGCAGCAGAGGAAGAGGAACCCCCGCTCCCGGGACACTGTTTCCACACCCGTGGCACTGCGAGAGTTTTTGTGCAATGTAAAATGTAGACCTAGAAAACCAATCCATTTCCTAGGTGGAGTCGCCTCACTCCACGAGTGCCCGTGACCCAGAGCCAGTCACCCCAGAACCACTGCGTAAGCCAAGTGTTCTGAAGAGCGGGTAGGCCATGCTCAAGGGCCCCCAGCCCCTCCCATTCAGATGGGAGCTTGTTGGCACTTGCCGTTGGCAGGAGGACCCAATGTTAGGTGCCCCCAAGGAGAAGGGGCGTGAGGGAGGGAACGGGGCCAGGATCCGGCAGCAGGCTCTGCACAGCTCCACCTGACACCCGCAGGGTGGGGGGCCTTGCAGACACCCGCTCCACTCCAAGGAGAGCCCGTCTCACGAACAGCTTGGCGTTTGTCCCCCTGCGGGCACTTGCCGTGTTCTCCAGCCGTGCCATCCCCGTTGCGGCCAGGGCGCTGGGTCGGGGAGCAGCACTAGTCTGAAGAGGGTGGTCCCGCGTGACAGCTCACCCAGCCCCCCAGGCCGTGGGTCCCGTGGCCATCATCCTGAACTGGGAGAAGAGGCTCTTAGCAGCCTTAACCGGAGACACTGGGTAATTCCCTGATGGGAACATTTCCTTCTTTGCAAACTCGGAGGGAAAACACTGTGTTCCGAGACACAACCCACAGAGGTGTCCTGAGAATTAATAAAAAGCCAGAGGAAGCAACCAGAGTGTGCGATGGAGCTGAGACTGGAGCTCTGGATGTTTCCCGGGTGGGTGTGAGATTTCTCATCACTTACCATCTTCCAGAGGCCCTCCTAGCATTCGCAGCAGGACACCTGAACACTCCTTTCCCTCCTCTCTACCCGGACACCCTTATTGTGCCTGAACACCATCCTCTGTGCTCAGATGCCCTCAGCATGCCTCAACAGCCTCACCATGCCTGAACACCCTTACTGTGCCTGGACACCCTCACCCTGCCTGGACAGCCTGACTGTGCCTAGACAGCCTCTCCCATGCCTGGATGCCTTCACTGTGCCTGGACACCTACACTGTGCCTGGATGCCCTCACCATGCCTGGACGCCTGCATTGTGCCTGGACAGCTTCACTGTGCTTGGACGCCCGCACCGTGCCTGGATGCCCTCACCATGGCTGGACACCCTCACTGTGCCTGAACGCCCACGCTGTGCCTGGACACCCTCACCGTGCCTAGATGCCCACACTGTGCCTGGACACCCTCACCATGCTTGGATGCCCTCACTGTGCCTGGATACCTACCCCGTGCCTGGACACCCTCACCATGCCTGGATGCCCTCACCATGCCCAGATGCCCTTGCCATGCCTGGACACCGTCCTGTGTGCTCAGATGCCCTCACCGAGCCTGGACACCCTCACTGTGCCCAGATACCTTCACTGTACCTGGACACCCTCCTCTGTGTCTGAAGCGCTCGGATATAGCCTGGGCAGTGTGTCACCCAGGGAGGGCAGGGTGGGTCCTGACACTCTCCTGAAGGGTACAGTCTTGATGTGTCCTGGGCTCAGTGCATACTCAGCGTTGGAAGGATGCTGGTTTCGTTGAATGTTCTGTGAAGGTGATGGGTGTCGCTGCTCAGAACTTTGGGGTGTCCCCGTGCTGTGTGAAGTCCTTGAAGTGTCTTGGGTTCCTGTTTCTAGGCATCTGGGCCACAGGCCTCAGTTCCACCCCCTGAAGCATGGATTCGACGAGTGGTTTGGATCCCCCAACTGCCACTTTGGACCTTATGACAACAGGGCCAGGCCCAACATCCCTGTGTACAGGGACTGGGAGATGGTCGGCAGGTAACGGGTCCCCCCTTCCTCTGCTGTTGCCCTGGGAGCGGGACGGAGTTTCTGGAACCACCTGCCCACCAGTGCTGGCGGCTCAGTGTGCAGGGCTCGGCTTTGCCACCTTGTTCTGCCCAGAGCCTTACAGGACTCAGCGCCTAGGGCCACTGTGCCAGCCACGCCCACAGGGTTTCTGACCTTTTCAGAAAATATGATGAGGTGTGTGCACACGGCAACCATTGCACGCCATTTCTGGGGTTCGGGCCCTGTGCAGCCCTTGGGCAGGCCCTGGGATCCAGCTTCAGAGGCCATCTGCCTCACCACATTGGCACGCCGGCTGAACTCGGGCTGTGCGGGATATCACAGCGTCTCAGAGGAAGGGTGGACGAAACCCTACTGTGCCTTCGAGAGCGAGTGCGTCTGCAGGCCGTCGGCTCCAGGACAGGCCTGTCTGGCCCACGGTCTGGCTGCAGGGCGCCTGCAGGTAGCCACACGGGGCCAGGGCCCTGGTCTTTCTTGAGTTTTGCTTAACGTTTTCTTTCTTTTTCCTTTTTTACTATTTTTATTTTTGATGGAAGCTCTCCTTACCCGTCAGTGGACCAAAGAGCTGGGCTGACTCGTTGCCTTTTCCAGTAACAGCTTTGTTGAGATAGAACGCACACCCCGCTCGTTCACCATCTGCAGTGGCAGTGGCTCCTAGGACAGCCATGCGCAGCTGGGGCGTTGCCTCATGAAGAAGCCCCGCCCATTAGCTGCGGCCCAGCCCCCGTCTCCACGCCCCGGGCCTCCTCCTGGCAGGTGCTGGAGTTGCCGTGGTGCCCAGCCTTAGCCCACCTTGTGCTCCACGACCTGTGACCTCAGGAGCCATGCGAGCACCTGTTCATTTGTTCAGAAATAGACATGGATGGAATAAGATAGAAATCGTTCTTTTAAATGAGGCTCATGACATTGCCTGTGAAATCAGGGAGAAGGGGGCCGTCTCGGCCTGTAGTCTGATTTCTTTCTGGATGTGTGTTATTCTCAGATATTATGAGGAATTTCCAATTAATCTGAAGACCGGCGAAGCCAACCTCACCCAGATCTACCTGCAGGTGATGGGAGCCTGGGCTGGGCGGGCTCTGGATGCGGGCAGGTGGGCCTCTGGGCGGAGGAGGACGCTGTGCTCCCCTCCTCAGGAGGCCCTGGACTTCATCAGGAGGCAGCAGGCAGCACGGCGCCCCTTCTTTCTCTACTGGGCCGTTGACGCCACACACGCACCTGTTTACGCGTCTAAGCCTTTCTTGGGCACCAGTCAGCGAGGGCGGTAAGTCCTTGGTCATGGAGATGCAGACCCCACCTGGGGGGTTCAGCTGTGCTTGCTTACCTCCGAGGGCAGGGCACTCGTTTCCCTTACGTCTCTAAGTATCGACTGTAGAGGACAACAGCAGTGGCTGTGCCTCGCTGGGAGTGTCCGCCAGCGCAGGATTGGTGGGGGGAGGGCTGCGGCCGTGTGGCTCCTGCCATCCTGGCTTAACTCTGCCAGCTTGAACTTGAATTTTCCTCCTTCTCTTCTCTGGGTTCAGCCAGTCTGTTTCGCTGTCCGTCCCTGAAGTTATGATTTAAGTGCTGTCTGATCAGACAGATGCCGTTGGCCACCTGATAGCCGTTTGGTCTTCCTCACAGATACGGGGACGCTGTCCGGGAGATCGATGACAGTGTTGGGAAGATCCTGCACTCACTGCAGGACCTGGGGATCGCAGAGAGCACGTTTGTTTTCTTCACATCGGACAACGGCGCTGCCCTCATTTCTGCTCCAAAACAAGGCAAGTGTTCAGAGTAGCCCCACTGGTCGTCGTGTGACGAGACCATCGATGTGGGTCCTTTCTTGGGAGTTAAATCAAATTGCACCAGAAGTAGTTGTCTCACAAAGTAGAATTTTTATTTGAGGCATGAAGAATGGAGACCATAGGCAATAATTTCACAAAGCTGTGGCCCCCCCGAGCATGGGGTTAGGGGGCGTCTTTATTTGGGTGGGGGATGAATATTCAAAGGGCAAGTTTCATTGTCACATGTGGAGGCGGGAACAAGCCTGCACGCACGGGAATTGAAATCAGGCATCACGTGACTTCAAAATGGCTGCTTCACCCTCCCCGAGGACGGGAATTCCTGATGTGAATGCGGGCAGGTCGCTTTAGTCCAACGCTCTGCCTGTCTGTGCCCCTGCCAGTCTTGTGGCTATGGTCTGGGCCGGCCTCGTCCCAGTCAGAGCAGCTGGGTCCATGGCAGTTGTGGCTTAGAGTGTCTCCCTGGAACATCCTGGAAACCACGTAAGCTCAAGGCCCTGAGGTGTTAGATAAAGGAACAGCTGCCTCTTGCAAGAAGACAAGAGAGTAAGGTCAAACACAGAGGTTAGAGTTTAGGCAGGACAGGAGAAGGGAGTTAGGGTCCGTGTCTGGTGACAGTGATGACCGCAGATGAGGCTCCACTTGAGAACACCTGGCTCCCGCCACTTGCTCAGCGTCCCCTCAGCCGCCCGTGGGGTGGAATGTGGAGGGGCTCAGCCTGGGGCCGTCCAGTGGGAACAGACGTAGAAGCCCCAACAGCTGTGCTGTGGGGTCGACCTGGTCACACACGGGCAGGGCCGCCCGCTCACGCCGCCTTCTGTAGCACACTGTCGTCCCCTCAAAGGATGGGCACCTCAGCCACTCCTGACCCAGGAAGGGCATGTCAGCGTGGGAGTGGTGAATGCCCGTTCCAGGCCTGACGCCCCCTCCCCAGTTTTGGGGTTTCTGGCTTCCCTGCAGGTGCCTGGTCAGGAGAGAGAGCTTGGTGGGGGAGGACGGAGACCGAGGCCAGCGCCTTCGCCCTGTCCTGGCTCTGCCACTGAGCAGCCCTGGGGCGGGTGACATTCTGCTTCCCATCATCATCATCATCCGCATCCACATGCTAGCAGACACAGGCCCGATGAGAGGAAGTCACCTGTCGGGACCTCCCAGCTAGCAGGTCACTGCTGCCTCCTGTGCATTTAGGGCTGAATGAGGTCACTTCTGGGCTTCTCCTCTGACGCTGTGCTGTTCTCCATTGGCATCTTTTCCTAAACTCACAGACAGCTTGCCTGGCAGGGATCAAAGTGGACAGACGCATCTGAGGGCAAGGGCCCCACCAGGTGCGTGTGGCCCCGGGGACTCGGGGTAGATGGTCTGATGGGCGACACCTCTCCCTCCCCAGGCGGCAGTAATGGCCCCTTTCTGTGCGGGAAGCAGACCACGTTCGAAGGTGGGATGAGAGAGCCTGCAGTCGCGTGGTGGCCCGGGCGCATCCCTGCAGGCCAGGTGAGTCAGGCTGCCTGCCCAGGCCTGCAGCCATCCTGGGGTGTGGAGGCTCAGCCCCCTCGCTGCCCTGCCCCCTCCACTCACTCTGCGTTGCCTAGGAAACGCGGAGGTCAGACTCACCACTCCCCTCCAAGCCAACCCCTCCCCAAGGAGGCAGCTGGTAAAGGGTGCATGCGGCAGCCACTGGGACAGTGTCCTCTGGGGCGTCACATGGGGTGTCATTAGCTACCGTGGCAGGCAGAGGCTTCCGTGGTCAGTCAGTGTGGCAGAAAACCGAGTTAAATGGGTTTCTTTTCTGCAGGACTTGTCAGAGCCTTTAGTGTCTAATAGGTATCAGGAACTTCTGGAAAAGGCATAGATCTAGCTGAGTTTTTAAAATCTTGTTTGGCCACAAGCTTGTTTCCCAAAGTGCGTCTCCAGGCACTGTGTTCTGTGGACACACTGTCAGACAGCAGTGGCTGGACGAGGCCTTGACAGCTGTCTGCAGTGCTGAGTACAGAGCGCAGGGCTGGGGGCCTGGCCCTCTGGCTGGGCACGGTGGGTGTCCTGCCGCTGTCTGGACCAGCCAGCCTTTCCTGCTCCTCAGAGCCCCTCGCTCTGCCCTCCCTTGGCTGAGAACCCACAGGCAGGGGCTCCTCTAACTGGGCACCCAGTTCAGGCCCGTCACAGACGCGGTCTCGAGACTGGAGTTTCTAAATGTGATGTCGCACTCTCCCCCGGTCCCTTCCTTTCTGACGGGCTTCTCCAGAGAACAGTGTTGGACGCTGGTGTCAGCTCAGCCCCACAGCAGCACCACAAGGAGTGTCCTGTGGCTGCTGGAACGGTCCCCACACCTAGTGGCTTAAACGGCACACGTGTCCTCTCATGGGGGTCGGGGGTTGGGGGGTAACCCAGCACCGTCTCTCGGCTAAAATCTGGTGTCGCAGGGCTGGTTCCTCCCGGGCTCCAGGCAAGAATCCATTTCCTCGTCTTTTCCAGCTTCTTGGATCCTGGCCTGTCTCTCCCTCGTCTGGGTCAGCAGTGGCCGGTCACATGTCACCCCTGTCACTCTGACTCTGACTCTCCTGCCCCCGTCCCAGTATAAGGACCGTATGATGACACGGGGCCCCCCCCCAGGGATCCAGGATCAGCTCTTGTTTAAGGTCAGCTGATTGGCGACCTTGATCCCCGTTTCCCATGTAAGGAAACGTTCACAGGCCTGGGGATTAGGGCGTGGGCATCCTGGGGCGGGTGACATTCTGCTTCCCGTCATCATCATCATCCACATCCACATGCTAGCAGACACAGGCCCGATGAGAAGAAGTCACCTGTCGGGACCTCCCAGCCAGCGGGTGGCAGAGCCGAGTGCGGATCCCAGCTGTGGGCGTGGAGCCCACCCTCCTCCCCCTGACGGCCTGTCCTCCTGGGATGGTCCCAGAGAGAGCCCTCTCCCCACTCCCGCCATGGGAAGGCTCCAGCCTGTGGGACTCCCGGCCCTGCCGGCCTGGCTCCAGGCCCCTGGGCCCTGTTCCTGGAGCAGAAAGGACATGTTCTCAGAGCCACACTACGTCTCCCTCCACACGTCCCGCGGGCAGACACTGGGACTGAATCAGAGGGGCCTGCACCCTGTGCTAGCTGCGCGAGGATTTTATTTAAAAGCGTCCTGACATTCGTCCACCCAGCCTCCAATCTTGGGCTCTCTCCTCCGTACCTGGTGGGGCGACTTTGTTGACTGTAGCCTTGGATTCCGAGTTAGGTCTTGAAAGTGTTGATAACAGTCTGATGACGGCCTGCCACGGACGGATTGCATTTCTCCTGAAGCCCTTGCGTGCAGGTCGAGCGCGTCTGTGTTTCTAAGAGCCCCCCAGAGCTCCCGGCTGCCGCGCCGATGCAGGCCATCAGACGCCCCTCCTGCCCGCTCCACCCGCCTACATGGCAGGCTCACCTCCTGATTGATGTTTTCCAATCGTTTCAAAAAAAGTAATGAAGGAGGGAGGCAATGGGGACAGGAGACTGCCGTGGGCCACGTCTCCATCCTCCCTGCCAGGGCCTCGCAGAGCGTTGGAACCGAATGTCGACCCTCACGTCCCCACACTGGGCCGCGGAACCAGATGGCGCACGTGGCTGGGCGTGCGCTCAGGGTCCACGCGGAGGTTGTCCTGGTGTGGAGGAACACCCGTGAGGACCAGGCAGCCGGGCGTGGGAGGTGCTAAGATGAAGGGTGGCTCGCAGTCGGCCCACAGCAGGTGCAAGGGGACACCTGCCTTGCCAAACCTGCTGGCGGGTTCATCCTGCTGACTCGGCGCATCCCGATCCAGACCTCAGGAGTGCGGGGCGGTCTCTGCACATGGGTGGTGGGAGGGTGGAAGGACCTCGGTGGGCTCCAAACAGGGCAGAGCTGCATGCAGGGACTGGACCTGCATCCATGGAGACCAGTGGGCAGCCCCTTTCCCACAGTGGTCAGCTCCTCAGGCCTATCCGCAGGGCCGCTTCCTGCTGGCTCTGTGGAGCTGGACCATTCAGTTTGGCCCAGTGTGGCCTCTGGAAAGAAAGGCGGGCCCTGCCCACCACTGTCCCCTCCCGCCAGCCTTGGCCAGCTGCCCCCCAGCCCCGGTGCCTCCAGGCTGCTCTGGGCTCCAGGGTCCTTTTCCACCTGTGCTTGGACCTGATTTGCGAAGTTCACGTGGTTCAGTGTTGCAGTGACGGTGACAGATGGCCGGTCAGAGAGGGCAGGCCTCGAGCGGCGAGACCCTGCTGGCCGTCTTCTCTCTGCTGGCTGATTCCGATTCGCAGCCACAGCAGAAGTGAGGGCTCGGGAGTAGCAGACAGGACGTCGCTTCGGCCTGCTCTGGGGTCAGACGGCCCAGACTGAATCCCCATGCAGCCCCCAACCTCCCTGCGGCCACTCTCCCCATGAGGGGCTGCTCCCTCCCTCATGGGGCCCTGAGGCAGGAGAATTGTGTGCGGCCACACATGAGCCAGCATGACCCTCGTGGACATGAGGTGTCCAGGAGAGCCGGGGGTCGGTGGGGCTGGGGAGACCAGGCCCGGCGAGGCTGACAGGGCGGGAGGCCTCTCGTGCGCAGGTGCTGGGGCCGGGTGTGTGTGCACACGAGTGTACATGGGGCAGGGAAGGCCTCTGTTCAGGGTGGGTAGACACGCTGTAGGGCATGTGATGATGTGCGAGCACGCACGCCTCTGTAGACCCAGCTGGGCAGCAGAAGAGTGCGCAGACCTGGCCCTGGCTGCCATCTCGTCAGGGCAGGGCGTCCTGAGTCTCCACTGTGTCTGTTTCAGGTGAGCCACCAGCTGGGCAGCATCATGGACCTCTTCACCACCAGCCTGTCCCTCGCAGGCCTGGAGCCGCCCAGAGACAGGGCCATCGATGGCCTCAGTCTCCTCCCGGCCATGCTGCAGGGCCAGCTGATGGACAGGTGGGTTCCAGCCGGACGCTCGCCCCTGCCCCTGTCCCTGCCCCGAGTGGCGGAGCCCGTGCCGGTTCCTGTCCCAGCTAGCTTGGGGCAGAGGCAGGGCAAGGGGGAGGCGAGGCCCCAGGGACTTCCTGGCACAAGAGGCATCCTGGAGCATGAGCTTTGGTCCTCCGCGACCATTCCCGACATGCGAGGCATCTAGGCTCTCCTGGGTCGGGGTGAAGAAGCCTCGTTCCTTTGTTCAGCGTCCATCACTTCGGCCTCAGGCCGTGGCGGGGAGGAGAGAACCTCTGCCCGGTCACCAGCCGTGCCAAAGCCCTGGAGCCTGACCCGTCCCACGTCCCCCTCTGCACCGGAATTCTCTGTGTCCGGAGTCACTTTCTCTCCAGCTTCAGATCACTATCGTTGTGCTCAGACAAAATGAGTGTCCCGGGCTGCTGTGACAGGATGGGGGTTTTAAAATGGTAAATAGCATAGCGGGAGCAGGTGCGCTGCTGCACTCTGAGAGCCGTGTGGCCTCGGCGGCAGGGCAGGGCAGGGCTTAGACAGGTCTGTTTGGCTTTTTTCAATATTGCTTATTTTTTCTCTCTTGCAACCTGGTACGTGAGCCTGTTTGCTGCTGGGGAGAGAAGGTGCCGGAGGCTGTGGTCACCCCGCCAGGCCTGTCTGCCCCGGGAAGGGGGCTGGAGACTCTGCCGCAGGCTTCACTCCACCGCCCAGCCCCCACAGGGCCAGGAGTGAGAGGGGGCGACTGTGGGGCTCGTCTGACAGCCTCAGGGACCTTTCCACCCTGCACAGCGTGACCTCGGCATGGTCATTGCTGTCAAATTTCAACCATAACCTACTCACGGGGAGCCGCCTGCCCTGCTCCCGGGGTTTCTGGTGTCACCTGACCCTCCCCCCACAGGCCGATATTCTATTACCGTGGCAACACACTGATGGCAGTCACCCTCGGCCAATACAAGGCCCACTTCTGGACCTGGACCAATTCCTGGGAGGAGTTCAGACAGGTAAGGGTCTCGGTGCTCCGTGTCCTCTGCACCCCATGTCTGTCCTTCAGGAGGAGGCGTCTGGCCAGAGCAGGCCAGCAGGCGGCAGGATGGGGGCCTCTGCCAAGTGGTGTCAGTCACGGGGTTTCGAGCTCCCCTACCTCAGTGTGTTTACCTGCCCTAAGAAGGAGTTGGGGGCGACGCAGTGTGGCTACAAGGATGGCCCCTTAGGAGCCTGGACAGCTCTCCTGGGACACGTCACCCTCTCTCAGGCCACTCAGAGCCTGAGAAAAGGAGGTCTCAGGGCAGGCTCAAGTCCAGACCCAGGTCAGACGCCTCAGGGGCCCAGGCCAACCCGGGGCGCCTTCCCCGGCCCCTCCCCCGAGGCCTGGCCTGGTGCTCAGCGGCTCTCTGAGTGGGGCTGTCATGCCTCTGCGTAGGCTGTCTGCCCCGCAGGCTCGAGAGTGAAGTGCCGCACGCCCAGGGTGCAGCGCTGTCCCCGGCGTGGCCTGTGCTCCCCTTCCCTCCTCTTGCCCACCCCATCCCCAGTCCCACCGCCCCCTGCCCCCCAAGTCTTCTGCCTGCTCCTCCTGGGTGTCTCCACCCCACCCCCTGCAGGGCGCTCAGCGTCTGGGTCTTCAGACACAGGAAAAGCCTGTTAATGTGTGTTAATTGGGAGGAAAAGCAATTTAAGTTAATAGAAGATCTAAGCACTAGAACACTCTGCATCAATTGGGATGCAAATTGCAGACTCAGCGGATGTGAGTCTGGTGCCCGTCTGGGTGGGGCTGGCGGGGCCCAGCTGCCAGGCCAAGTGCCTCATGTGGATACGGGGTCACCACCCTGGGCACGCAGGCGGTCGTGGACAGCGTGCGCTTCCTCCCTCATGGCCCAGTGCCCGCCAGCGTCCCCTGCTTGTGATCAGGAGCAAAGGTTGGCCTGAGGGTGGGGGTGGGCTCAGCTGGACCCAGCGAGCCTCTGCTGCTGTTCTGCCCTCTGACTCCGTGTGAGCCTCACATCAGCCCTAGAGTGTCCTGTGGGCCCCTCAGACTGACTGTGACAACACCACCCAAGCTAGTCTCTTCCGAAACTCCTCCTCAGTGAGCAGCACAGCACAGCCCCGTCCCCTGGCTCGAGCTCTTGTCGCCGGCCCTCCCCACTTGTGGCCACCTGCCTCCTCTCCACGCGCCTGGGGGCCCCCCACCCACTCCTCACCCCCAGGCTAAGCCCGCCTGCCCTTCAAGTCCCATCTCAGCTGTCACTGCCACCGAGGGCCATCCTAAGCCCCAGGTGCCCTGTCCCCTGACAGGATGCCTGGTTTGTCCCTTTAGACACCCAAGGGCTGAGAGGCCGTAAGAGCACTCAAAAGGGGCCCAGTAACATTAACGTGCAACTAAAATTTCACCAGATTGTAACCTATGATTAACTCAATAAAAAAAAAAAATTTGTTAACAATAAAAAAAAAAACTGGGGCCCAGAGGCTGGCAGTGTGGGCACCCACAGGGACGGCCATGTGGCCTCACCTCTCCCTCCCCAGCCCCCCGCCCCCCATCACACAGCTCCCCGGTCCTCCAATGTCTCTAGAGTCCCCATTGTCAGCTGCCCGCAGCTCCCAGCAGCATGTGCAGGTGCAGCTGGTGTTCTGGAAGCCGCCCCTCTGGCCTGCACGGTTCTCCCTGCGGCTCTCAGGGCCTCTTGGGGCAGGACCCAGTTAGCCCTGGCCTGAGTGAGAGCGCCCAGCTTCCATCCAGGCCAGAACCCAAGGGCGCTTTTTCCATAAAGGGTGCTAGAGAAGTCCAGAGGGTTCTGTGGGCAGAGCGGCTACCTTGACCACAGTTACAGTGGCGTCAGAAAGTGTCAGGAGAGGGCACCTTGGCACAGCCGGGTGACACCCCGCCCACACGGCCTCTGGTTCCTAAGGGTTGCTGGCAAGCTCCTGAGATGGTTTGTCTGCTCTGCTTCTTGGGAGATGAGGAAACAAAATTCCCTTCTCCAACCACGTAGACGTTAGGGGCATCCCTCCCTGGGAGGGTGGCAGCCCCAAGCCAGGATGGGGTTGGCCTGCATGGCCCTTCTCCCTCCAAGGATCAATAAGGCCAAGGGTGTGTGAAGTCAGAAGGACCCCACAACTATGACAGCGGCCCCCATAGCTATCGGCTGCTCCCCGAGCACCAGAGGAGACGGACCTGCCTCTTCCCGTCACCTCCACATGGCTCACATGTTAGGGAAGTTTTGTTCAGAGGCCAGGCAGGGCCCGGCTGGGGCGGCCAGTGAGTCCTGGGCCTGCTCCACCCTGAGGGAGAGGCGGGTGGGCCTCTCAGTGGGGACACGCGGGTCTGTGGCCCCAGATCCGCAGGTCGCCTGAGTGGACCTTCTTATCTTCTGGGCTGTCCGTTTGTCCATGGGTGTCTCTCACCCCCCGGCCCCCCACTTCCGGGTCCTGCTGTGCCGGTGGCCCCCTGTGGCACTGTCCCCGGCAAGCCCATGACCTGCCCACCACAGGGTGTCTGAGACCCAGGGAAGAGGTGGGAGGGAGGGTACGTGTGTGCAGGGTGTGTGTGACCTTCTGCGTTTCTGGACTAAATCCCACGAACGTTAGCCGCCGTGCACACTCGTCTCCCTCCTGCATCCTTCCCGCCCTCCGAAATGCCAGCGCTGTGACGAGCAGGTCATGTGAGTAGGAGAGGAGCCGTGTGGGGCTCAGTGCTGCCCGCGGGCGAGAGTCACTGCGGTCCTGATGAGCGGGATCCTCATTCAGTAGCGTAGTGGATTTGCATCCCCATTGCGATTTGTCTGTGTCTCGTGTCTAGACTTGACACACTTCCATTAACTGCTCGGCGCTTTTGTGCTAATGGGGCTCTTTCTCCCACTGTCACGTCTGTATTGTTCTCTAGCACTTCTGCTTCCTGAAGGTCAAAGGGTCACCCACTCTGGAACCCACCTGGCTGGGGATGCGTCCTTGGCCGCCCTCAGCAGCTGAGATCGCAGCCCCTTATTTTTCCAGCCACTGACTTGGGAATCTACAGCTCCGTGCAGGTCAATGGAATTTCACGGGCTCCTAACCTCCCCGCTTTGTTGAAAAGCAGAACATTAACTGCTCCCCTGACCAGCCATCCCTTACAGACACACGGGGGTTAGGCAGCCGTCTGCCCGTCAGACTCTGCCGCCTGCGGACACCCTCAGTCCCTCGTGGTTGAGAAGCAAGCAGTGCAGCCCCCGTTTTAGGGTTGACATGCAGCAGTCATGGCCATCTCTCCAGACCCCATCAACAGTGTTCTGTGTCGGCCAGACTCCAGCGCCAAGCTGCTTGCAGGGCCCCGGGGTCACCAAGGCCTCAGGATGGGGAGCCTCTGGCTTCGCCCCATTCCCCCTGGAGAGCAGGGGGCTTTTTCCTCTTCCAAGTTGAAGAGCCCCGAGGGGCAGCCTCCAAGCCTTGGGGACAGAGCTCCAGTCTGTGGGCCATAGTGTGTGGAGGGACCCCCTGGGACCCCAGGACAGGACAGATCTCAGACCACACACTGACATGCAAGCCCACTTCAGATGCGCTCCAGAAGCCACCACGGGCAGGGGCGCCTGGGGAGGGCAGGAACCACAGGGCCGTGGGCTCACAGCTGAGCGTTAAGGGAGCCCAGGGTTCCCTGTTCTGTCTTCCTGTGTCCTTGCCCATATGGGCCACAGTCGTAAGGTCCCTTCCCGCTAACTTCCACATCCGGGTTACCCGTGGCCTCGCTGTGTCTGTGTCATCCCTGGCTTTCAGGCCTGCGGTCCCCCTCCCCTGAGGAGTCTCAGGAATGCCGAGCACCGTGAGCTTCACTGGCTGCGGGGCAGGCAGAGCAGGGTGAAGAGCTTTGCTCTGGGAGTTGGTGGCGGTCAAGATATGAGAAGGGCTGGAATAGTACAAGGAGATTCACCTCCCCTTAAAAACTAGGGGCGGTTCACGGGGCAGATGGCTCAGCAGCTCCTGGGCCCGGGGACGGCGGGGCTGCACCCACAGGATGGCCATCGCTGTCCGTTCACTCCTTGAACACCCGGCGAGCATCCATGATGCGCCACGCACAGGCATGCCGCCCCGGAACGAGATGGGCCGGCCTTCCTGGTGGAGCTCCCGGCCGCTGGGTTCCTGGGCTCCGAGGGCACAGCACACACAGCGCCCCCCACCCCGCACCTCTCGTTCCAGGGCATTGATTTCTGTCCCGGGCAGAACGTGTCAGGAGTCACCACCCACACGCAGGAGGAGCACACGAGGCTGCCCCTGATTTTCCACCTGGGACGCGACCCGGGGGAGAGGTTCCCCCTCAGGTGAGCCGGGCACAGGGGAGCCCTCCCCTCAAGCTGCCGAGAAAACATTAGGTGGGCCTGAACAGGAGCACACACCGATGTATGCATGTTGTGAACACGTGGAGGTGCATGCATGCACACTGGGAAGCGTGGAACCCCCCCCCCCGCCCCCTCCGGGCACATTGGGGCCTGACGCTGTCCCGTCTGGCATGGGCTGTGCTGGGCCGGCTTTCCTCTCCTGTGCGCCCCCACCTCTCCACTCACTTGTCTCCCACACCCATCAGTGCATGCAGCCCACCACGTGATCCCCTGCCTCGAGCTGCCTTCAGGGATGGCCGAGGGGGAGGGTCGGGCATGGGGCGGAAGAGGACCTCTCCCCACGGCCACCCCCTCGCACACGGGCAGCACCAAGGACACAGAGGGTGGTGACACCAGGCCCAGAAAGATCCCCCGCAGGGCTCCCGTGCCCTCGATGGGGCAGCCACCTGCCCCGGCCCAGACTGGGCTCTTCCAGTGAGGCTCTCTGAACGGGGCCTTTGCACCACCAAGCTGCTTGGGCGCTTCCTCCGGGCACCTCCCTTTCTCTGGAGCTGCGTCCAGCTCAGAGGCCTGGGACCGTGGGAGGGAAACACAGAGATGCTGCCATGGATGAAATAGTGTCCCCTAAATCCATGTCCACCAGAACCTCGTAACACGGCCTCGTTGGACATAGGGACTTTGCCAGAGTCGTTAGGGTGAGGGTCGAGATGAGGTTGTCTGGGATCAGGGTAGCACCAGTACAGTGAGACTGTCCTTGCAAGAGACCGAAGAGGAGAGATGTTGACACGGGAGAGGCCATGGACGACGGCAGCAGAGATGGGACAGCGTGGCCACAGCCCAGGGACGCCTGCAGCTGCCAGGGGCTAGAAGTGGCAGGAAGGATCCTCCCTTGGAGCCACTGGCGGGAGTGTGGCCCTGTGACACCTGGATTTCAGACTCCTGGTCTCCAGGACGAGGATAAGTCCCTGCTGTTTAAGGCGCCCCCCCCCACCCCCCCGCCGCAGTCTGCGGCAATTTGTTACGTGGCCCCAGGACACTCACATGGGCGAGGAGCCTCCTCATGGCCGTCACAAACCACAGGAGGTCTGGAGCAGGGCCACGTGCAGGTGCAGGCTGGGAAATTAGAACTAAACAGGGGGCTGGGAAGTCGTGGTCAGTGAGCCCCCCTCCCACCCCCGATCCCCGGAAGTCATTTCAGAGCCAAGATGCAGCAGGACCAGGGCAGTGGATCCCAGGGCCTGGTTACCCAGACGAGTGCCCTCACACCTGTGCCCACCAGGCCCCCACAGCCTCAGTGTTCCCTTGGCCCCCCAGAAGTTAAAGGTCAGTTAAGGTGACAGCCCTGCTCTGTCCACGTGGGTCCAGTTTGGCATAATGTTACGTCCACGGGGCATTTCTCTCCATCTTGCTTCTCAACACCACCTGTTCATTGCTCCTGGCCTTCTTCCAGCGGGGCCGTGGTGAGGGGCACCACAGGCCGTGGCGGGCAGCCCCCGGGGCCGTCAGCCATCTCACAGATGCCTCCATGGCTGGAGCAAACCTGGGCACCTAGGGTGTACGCTCCCCTGAGGTGGGTCAGCGGGGAGAGACGGCGGCGAGCCTCCGAGAAGCCCACCCCTGACCGCAGACCCCCGTGACGTTGCTTCTCAGACACATGTGCGCACAAAACAGCTGCAGCAACAAGCTGGTCACCGTGGAAGCTCGGTGCAAGCCCTGCCCCTCGCTGGCCGTGAGCGTGGCCGGATGGCCCTCCCACCTCAGCATCTCCCGAAGTGGGCAGTCACAGGGCTGCCTCACAGGGCTGTGCCGAGACGTGCAGAGCACACTGCCTGCGAGCTCTCCTTAGACCACGTCATCTCCATTCAGGGTCCCCTCAGGCCCCTGCCTGCAGCCCCCTGTGCTCCAGATGGGGAGACCCGGACCTGGGAAGGGATGTGACAGGCCCAGGGTCACTCTGGGGGTATGCAGAGCTCTGAGCAAGAAGACACTGCATCTGCCACCTGGCCTGGAAGAATTTGGGCTGAATATGGGGCCTTCTGGTGCTCCCCACATGCACTCACCCCATGGCACCACCGAGAAACCTTGTCACCCAGACTGTTGAGCTTGGTTAAGCCAGTCCTTTCCAGTGCGTTCGGCCACAGAATCCTGGAAAGACACGGGACACACCAAGAACCTGCTTGGGAAAGCTTGTGGGCCACGTGTGGAGCGAGTGTAGCTGAGAACAGGAGCCCGATGGTATGGAGGCCCGAGGAGTGGGGCTGGTCTGGGAGTGACAGCCTCAGACGGACCCAGAGTCGGGAGCAAGTAGGGCAGGACCAGCCACTCCTGAAACAAACCTGAATCAGAGGCCTGAAGAAGGGGCACAGGAGTGAGAAAGAGGCAGCCAGGAGCCCTGGAGCCCGGGTGTGACTCAGGGACACTGGGCTATGCCCTTGGAGGTTCCAGCGAAGGCCGAGGCCCCAACCAGCCAGACAGAAGAGTCACGGCTGCCGCCCCTGTCGTGTGGTTCTGCCTGAAGCCGCCTTGTAGGGAAGAGTCCCAGGTCCCCGCCTGCCCCCAGGAGGGCAGGGTGAGGGTGGGGGCAGCCCCTGCTCTCTCAGCCACTCTTCCCAGGAGGCTGCTGGATGGTGGCCCATCAGGGAGGGGACTCCTGAGCCCCCAAGCCCCTTCCCGGCCTCCCTGGGTGGCTGCCCCTGCCCACCTTGTCCCTCCCCTGCCGCTCGGTGACCTGTGCTCCCATCTGTCTCTAGCTTTGCCAGCACCGAGTACCTGGATGCCCTTCGCAGGATCACCCCAGTCGTCCGGCAGCACCAGGAGGCCTTGATCCCTGGACAGCCCCAGCTCAACGTGTGCAACCAGGCAGTCATGGTAAGCAGGAGGCTGTGGCTCCTGAGGGGGAGTGTCCCCAGGCCCACAGGAGTGCTGGGGGTCTGCACGCCCCGGAGCATCCCCCACATCCTCGGCACAGAGGTTTCCAAGGTTACACTGAGTCCGGGCAGCCGAGTGCCATGTGGAAGGGCTGCCCTCCTCGCACGCAGGGTGACCACTGGGCAGCGTGGTGCGACCCCAGCAGAGAGCGTGCTTCCAGAGGCTGTGGGGGCTGCAGGCTGGAGCCCTGCTTCCCTCCTGCTGCTCTGTCTCAGACCTCAGAGGTGTGGCCGCGGGCCACTCGCCCCCTCTGCAGGTGCAGGACAAGCCAAACTTGAGTGGGCTGTGGACACACTGGGCAGACGGTCTGAGTGTGGAGCTGGCCCGTGGGGCCCGCCTCCCAGCACAGCTAGTGTGGGTCCCAGCAGCAACAGCCCTCCTTGAACCTCATGGGGGACCCGCCCTGAGTCTGTCCCTGTAACTGATGTGTCTTTGGGGCGCCCTGCTCCAGAAAGTTTGGTGATTTGCATGTCCCAGTGTCATAAGCTCTGGTGGCACCCCAAACCACACAGAGCAAAGCTGGATGGCCTAGCCCAGCGTCCCAGCCCATCAGCCCCTCCTCCCGCATGCCCGCTTCCCCAGAGCCTCCAGGCACACGCCCCACCCCCCCCCCCCCCCACCCCCCGCCACAGGGTGAGTCAAGTGCTGAGGAAGGAGCCCCCGCCTCGAGGAGGAGGACCCAGGAAAGACGAGTTCAGTAGTTCACAAACTGGTGAACGGGTTCCTTGTGCGTGGGAGAAGAAGATGAGTTCAGACCCACTTCCACGGTCAGACAGAGCTGCAGCCATGGGAGCTGGTGGAGTGGGGTGCGGAGTGGGGCGTGGCAGAGGAAATCGTGCAGGGAAAACGGAGTCGGCACGTTAGAGGCGTTTTCCTAGCGGTGAGGACTCTCAGAGAGGCTGAGGCTGAGGGGCCCAGGAACAAGGCGGCCTCGTGAGCCTGGGGCGGGGGGGGACTGCGTCGCTGTTGTCCACGCATGGGGCTTTGTGTCCCGAGGCTCAGCCCGGGAAGACAGTTGGGGGCCAGCAGGGCCTCCCCCTCCCTCTGAGGTACACCACGAGGCGCCAGCCTGTCGACTCAAGGCAGTGGAGCAGAGGGCCCCTCTCAGCACCGCCAGGTCCCTCTGGTCCCAGGAGGAGCCCCTGGTGGCTGCCCCAAGCCCTGCTTGTCCTTCTGTGAAAGTGATGCTGTTCTCTCTTCCTTGCCACCCACCCACACACGCGCACCCACGCACACCCACCGCTCCGCAGGTGCAGGCTGAGTCCCCAGGAAGCGGAGACGCAGAGACGGAGGGGGTCTTAGTGACGGGAAGGGACGGGGTGAGGGTGAGGCAGAGGGACCTGGCCCGGGCGCTGCCGCCATCTCCTGGGCACCACGAAACTGCCGCAGCCGGCCACGCCCTGGAACGAGAGAAAGCGGAGACCCCACAAGCCCCCCATGTGAGCTGGAGACAAACCGGCATAGTGTGTGTTGGTCTCCAGACTTTAAAGTGAGCCCTGTCACCAGAGAGCTGCGTGGGTTTACACATGTGAACACGCGTGGGCATGTGTGTGCAAAGCCTGAGAAGCCCCCCACTCATCTGCTCCACACCCCTGCCCCCTAGTTCCCAGATGTTGGAAAGGTTCTGCTCTCTGCCCTCGGCCCCTCTTTCACACACTCCCCCCAGCTCAGCCTGGCCCCCACATCCAGGCCAGCCAGGTTGAGGACTCAGTGTGGTGTCCTCTGGTCTGTGTAACGTCAGTCCAGTGCAGTGTGTCACAGCCCGCGCGCAGCAGCTGGCTGTCCCGCTGTGCGTCAGAACTCTGAGGAGCCTTTTAAGAAACATGGGCGTCACCCCCACCCCCCGACCCTGCAGACTCGCAGGTGGGCCCAGAATGTGTTCTGCACAACCCTGCTTTCTCTGCCTTGCCTTCAAGGTTGGGAGCAGCTTCCCAGTGGAGACCCTGCCCTCCCCACAGCAGCCAGGGCCCACACAACCAAAGCCACGGACGCCATCCAGGGCGGAGAGGCCTCCACCTGGGGCCCTCGGTCATCCATGCTCCAAGTCAGTAACACACAGACTCGGGTCCCATCCACCCCAGAGTGATTCTGGGTCTCCTGACCATGGCCGGGGCACTGCCTGGATTGTGGGGGACACGGTAGAGCCAGGAAGGCTCCCCCTTAGGGGCATGAGTCTCCCTTTCTGTTGCCTGGAAAAACATGGCCACGTAAAGCAAGTCTGCACGCTCAGGTGCACACCCAAGGGGGCCACCCACGCTCCACGCCGCCCACCAGCTGAAAGGGGCCTGCTCTCCCAGGAAAAACCAGAGTTGACAGCTTTCCATGGGGGAGCTGGAGGGGGCCCCCTGGAACATGGTGCCCCCTCTCACAGGTTCCTCTACTTGGAAATGAGGCCACAGGCTTCAGGGTGGCTGGCAGATGTTCCCGTCGATAACAGAGGGGTCAGGCAGCAGGCCCTGCCCCCGGCCACCCACACCTGGGGCCTCGGCCGCCTGGTGAGAGGCGCTGAGCTGCCCCCCAGGCCGAGGTGGAAACGGGCAGTTTCCAGCCGGCAGCCTGTCAGATGGGGCAGGTCGCAGCCTGTGCGGGGCAGGAGTCTGGAAACTGCTGAGTCCAGAAGCGCTTGAATAACAGCATGTCCTCTTTCTGAATTTTTATTTTCCAGAACTGGGCGCCCCCGGGCTGTGAAAAGTTAGGGAAGTGCCTGACGCCCCCAGAGTCTGTCCCCGAGAAGTGCTCCTGGCCCCACTAGCACCTCCTTGGGCCCACTGGCCCTGCAAGAGCCTGGGGGCAGGAAGGCTCTGGCCTCAGGGCTGCCGTGCTGGAAGAGCCCCAGTGCCGTCTGCCCTGCTCACAGCCCTGCTCACAGCCAGGTGGACGTCATCTGCAGCCAGCCGCAGGACCTGCAAGGCCACACATGCCGACTGGGCCCTGGGGTCCTTCCGCGCTCTTCTCCTGGCCCGCCTGACCTGCCACCTCAGGCCCGTGGCCTCACATCAGCCTCTGGGCTCAACACAGCCTCACACGTCTCAGGACCCTGTCCAGCTCACGTCCTCCTACTCGGGCTCGGACCACCCCCGGACTGGCCTTGTCCAGGACCTGGGGGCGGGGGAGGGTGACTCCCAGCAGCCGTCCCTCTTGCACTTCAGCCTCGGTGTCGAGGGCAGCTGGACCAATCCTGTGTTGAGCCCCTTGGTGATGGCAGAGGGGACACCCCAGTCCCCCCTCCCTGCACCACCCCACAGCGGCAGGGTTGTGAATGTGGAGGGGGAGCAGGCAAAGGGCCTCCCTGACCCGGACCCTCGACAGCCAAAGCCTCCCTGGCCCGGTGGGACAGCTACTGCTGGGTCCCTGGGGACACGAGGACATCAGCACCCTCGATTTTCCGCCTTCCTCAGGGATGCAGACCCCTGCCCCAGCGCACTGTGAGGCTGGCTGTACCCCACAGCCTCGCTGCCGGCCCTCCTCCCCTCCGGCCCCTGCAGGGGATGAGCCCTCTCACTGAGTGGCCAGGCGCAGACTCCAGGGCGTTTGCACCCTGAAGGCCCGTGGGCCACCTGCCATTGAGCGGGGTTTTCAGGTCTCTGGAGTGACCCATGCCAAAGCTGTATTGTTCTAAGACTCGGAAAATTATGAAGAAAACAGTGTCAGAATAAAGGAATACAGGCATTTTAGCATTTTTGGTTTTTAAATGAGATTACATTTGGGGAATGTTGTTCTCCCTGGGGTACCGCGGTGGAGGGGCTGCAGTGGGATTCCTCATTCTGCCCCAAGGCTGCGGGGGGCCACAGCCTTCGCAGGCTCGCGGTGTGCTCTCAGGTGTGGGCTTCCACCAGGCCTAGCATCCCGCACTCCCTCCTCGAGAGTCCGGCGGGCAGCACACGCCCCGGCCTCCACCTCTGGTTCGGCTCCTCCCCGGCCGGGCCGGTCCATCCCAGGCCCGCTGCTCCTCCCTGAACTGCTCCCCAACTCGGGCCTCCCCTCCAGGCCCCTGCATTGCGCTCCGAAACCTCCCTGCTCCCGGTCTCGTTCACCTGGCGCTGGAGTGTGTGACCCTCGTGTGCGCCCGCATGCCCCGCGCAGCAGGACTCAGCTGAGACCCGCCGGCGAGGGCAGGAAGAGCGGGCGCGGCGGCGGCGAGGCGGGTGCGCGCCTGCCCGAGGCCTGGGGTCCCTGCTGAAGCTGCCAGGAAGACCAGTGGGCGCTCTCGGGCCCCGCCAAACCGAGTGAGAATTTCCACTAAAGCCCAGCTGGGCCTGCGTAGACGCCATATTCCTTCGACCTTGACTTGCACCTCGGCCCCGCGTGAACGGCCCCGAGGCGCGGACGCGTCTGTTCAGAGTCCAAGAGATAAGCGCACGTCTTAAAATTGGTGGCCCCGAAGATTCGACGAACCACGGCACTTCCTACAGGCGACGGGGCCCCGCCCCTCGCCCCGCCCCCATGCTGGCGCACCGAGCCCCCGCCCCTCGTGCCGGTCCCGCCCCCGGCCCGGCCGGACACGCGCGGACGCCCCGCCCCGGCCAGACACGAGCGGACGCAGCCATGGCCGAGTCCGAGCTGCAGCTGGTGGCGCGGCGCATCCGCAGCTTCCCCGACTTCCCCATCCCGGGCGTGCTGTTCAGGTGCGCGCGGGCGCGGCGCGGGCGCGAGCAGGCGGGCGGGCGGGCCATGGGGGGCCGCGCACACGGGGAGCCATCCGACGGGCGAAGCCGCGCGGGGGGCAAACGCGCAGGGCCGGGCGACGCTCGGGACCGCCAGGCGAGGCCGTGGTCCCGCCACGTAGGATGGGCGCGCGGAGGGCCGGCGGGACTGGGCTGTCGGGTCCCCGGGCCGGGACTCCGCCCCACCCGGCCGCGTGCAGTCCTGACCCGCCCTGCTCCCGCGCAGGGACATCTCGCCGGTCCTGAAGGACCCCGACTCCTTCCGCGCCTGCATCAGCCTCCTGGCCAGTCACCTGAAAAAGACCCACGGCGGCAAGATCGACTACATCGCTGGCAAGTGGACGGGCACAGGCGGGACCTTGACTCCGGGCGCTCCTGCCGCCGCGCCGCCCTCGGGTCTCTGGGGCCAGCCCTTCCTGTCTCCGCATACTCGGCCTCCGGGCCGGGAGGGGTCCCCCGAACAGGGCAAGTGGAGGGAGGGCCGCCCCACCTCTGTTTGAGCCTTCAAGGCACACGCCCGCGCGGGTGCTTGTGGGGTAGCTCTCGCGTGGGTTGTAAGGATAGACTTGCTGTCCCCACTTTGCAGCCCTGAGTGGGGCGGCAGGCCCCCCCCCCAGCGGCCTGGGGAACAGCCTCTGCCAGGTGGGTACCCCCTTGGAGGGGCTCGCAGCTGAGTGGAGGCCCCCCAAGTTCCTGGTCCCCAGCATGCACAGATGAGGCCACGGGTCTGGATTTCCCCAATACTGTCTGACCAGAGTCCGGTCTGACCAGAGTCCGCTGGGCCAAGCACTTTCTGTTCCTGTTTTACAAGCATGTATTGAGCACCTGCTGTATGCGCCAGGCTTTACCCAATATGGGGCTTCAGGAAGGTGGAGAGATCAGGGAGGACCCTGGCAGGCTTGCCTCTCCTGAGCCCCACCCCCTGGGCCTCGTGGTTCCCACTGCCTACTCTGCCTCAGCACACTTCCGGCCCTCGGGGCCCTGAGCTTCCCCATCACAGCTCAGTCGCCACAGGAGATGGCTGGAGATGGTCCTGCCTTTCTTTCTGGACTAACAGCTCTTGGGGCACACGCTGCTTTAGGGATAAGAGCCATCTGTTGAGTGCCTTTTCTGCTTTCCTATTACGGTTCCTGGCCCAGCCCCTGATGGGCAGCAGAGCTTGGAGGGCACCCTGGGGGCTGTTCCCGCAGCCATGTAGGATAGACCTAGGCCCTGCCTCAGCTCCTGACTCCCACCTCCAGCACCCAGCAGTCCCTGCGCAGGGCAGATGCTCAGTCAACATTCCCTAAATGGGTGGATGTCATCGGCCTCTTAGCTGGAGCCAGCAAGGCTGGGCACCCTGTGTGCCTGCAGTGGCCACATATCACCATCCAGCCCTGGCCCGTGGGGACCCAGTGCTGCTGTGCCACAGGCTGCCCTTCAACACCCTGACTCTTGCCAACAGGCCTAGACTCCCGAGGCTTCCTGTTCGGTCCCTCCCTGGCCCAGGAGCTCGGTGTGGGCTGCGTGCTCATCCGAAAGCAAGGGAAGCTGCCAGGCCCCACTGTGTCTGCCTCCTACACCCTGGAATATGGGAAGGTGAGTGGGCTGGGCTGCTGCTGCACACATTCCATTCCCAAAAGGAGAGTCGTGGAGTCAAGTGGAGGTGGGGGCTCAGAGGGGCTGAGATGCTGGGCCAGACTCACACAGCTAAGAAACAGGGTGGATTGGAACAGGGTCCGGTCAGTAGCCCCTTGTCAGCTACCAGGCTCTGCACACCAAAGCTGTTTTTGGAGACAAATCAACCACACGCCCATTCCCATCTGCAGGCTGAGCTGGAGATCCAGAGAGACGCCCTGGAACCGGGGCAGAAGGTTGTTGTCGTGGACGATCTGCTGGCCACTGGCGGTGAGGGTCTCCCCTGAGCCAAGGAGGCTTGGTGGGGGTGGGAGAAAGTGCCTAACCTGGGGCATGAGAATGGATCAGGGGCTCAGCACTCTACAGTTTACCAGTAAGCAGCAGGACCCTACACGCCCGATGGGAGCCCCATTGCCATACTGACTCCTCCCCCAAGCCCCTGGCCCAGGCTGCCTGGGCCTCACTCGTGCTTCCCCCCAGGAACCATGCGCACCGCCTGTGAGCTGCTGGGCCAGCTGCAGGCCGAGGTGCTGGAGTGCGTGAGCCTGGTGGAGCTGACCTCGCTGAAGGGTAGGGAGAAGCTGGGGACTGTGCCCTTCTTCTCTCTCCTGCAGTATGAGTGAGCCCTGCTGGCCACCAGGGGGCACTGGCCATCCGCCTGGACTCTCTTCTAACCCTGGTTGGGTGACTCTCCAGCCCGGGGCCTCCACCTGGGGTCCTTCCTGCAGATTCTGCAAGTGCCAGCACCTGGGGCTGATGGCCCGGGGCAGAACCCAGCCCAGGCCACTGCAGGTCCATTTACAGTGAACCAGGACCATGAATAAACAACTTGGCTAAAGAGGCTGTTTCTTCATCCAGGGGTGGGATCTGGGCCTCAGGCCTGGGAGGCAGGAAGGTGCAGGGGTTGGTTTGTAGCAGGCTGTGGTCCTTTCCTCCCTGTGAGCCATGTCACATGGAGCAGACAGGCTCAGGAGGCACATGCTGCCAGCTTGGTGTCCCACTGCTGCTCTGACAGGTCATGCAAACCTGGCTGAAACCTCCTCCTACAGTTCTGGAGGTCAGCAGTGCTCATTTCCTGCCTTCCCCAGCTGAGGCGCCCACTCCTGGGCTCATGGCCCCTCCTTCCATCTTCCCATCTCAGAAGGGCCCTGTGACGGCCCTAGGCCAGCCCAGATAACCCAAGACCATCTCCCAGTTCAAGGTCCTTGGGAGGCTATCTGAGCTGTCACTCTGCCCAGCACACTACCCAAAGCTGCGCTGACAGCAAAGCTCTCCCACCCACTGCCTTGCACCCCCGCCAGCTGCAGAGACACAGCCACCAACAAACCAGTTTAATGACAACGTGCTGTAGGAGGGTGGGCCCACCACCCAGTGACCAGAGGCCCTCGGGCCATGCAGAACCCAGTCCAGCCTCTGACCCTCGTGGGGACTCAGGAAGGGGAGAGCAAAGTGCATCGTGTTTATAAAGGACATAAAACAGGCATGGGGGCCAGGCCAGGGAGCCTGGAGCCCTAACGTGGATGCTGGCTCACAGCTGCCAGGCTCACAGCATCTCCTCAGCCCTAGCCAGGTGGGCCAGCTGCGCAATGATGCTCGCCAGGTCCGCGGCCTTGTCCAGCTTGACGTAGGTGTCGGTGCGGATGCAGTGGAGGCTGAGCCAGTCGGGCAGCAGCTCAGAGAGGAGCCGCACATGCGTCTCCATCTCCCCTGCAGAGAGGGCACGTGTGAGGCTGGACCGGCAACCGGAGCCTCCAGGCCTGTGTACACATCTGTACGGGGCGCCCTGTCAACAGGCCTGCTTTTGGGCCAGCCCCACCCCAGGCCTGCTGTGAGCCAGGCCTGGGCCAGACCCATCTGTGCCCTCCAGAAGCAGAGTAAACAGTGACAAGCAGGAAGGACTCAAGCCAGGGCAACGACTTGCAGCCCTGCCAGGAGGTGGCCCTCCCACTGAGCCAGACAGGAGTCCCAGCCTACAAACACCTGCCTGTGGGAAGTGCCCTGCAGCGCTGAGGGACCAGAGGCCTGGGAGGGAGCGGACAGTCCCCTGGGGCCTCAGGGCTGACTGAGGGACTGCAGAGGCAACAAGGCGGGGTGTGTGAGGGGGAGGCAGCCTGGTGAAGCTGCAGAGGTAAAGGGAGCCAGGCAGAGACTCAGGAAGTGACCTCAAGGGTGCTGTGCCCCCAGTGCACACAGCAGGCACCCAACACACATGGGGGACAGCGCATCCATAGGGCCCACTCTGATCTGGGACTCGGGACACGGGGAGGGAGCCCCGCACCTGCCCCTACGCTGCACATACCAGGGCTCATGGCCGCACGGTAGCTGCCCACCATCCTGGCACAGGCCACCTCCATGGTGAGCGCCGGCTTGCGCTCGGACACGAAGACACTGCGCAGCAGGCGGGCCAGCTCGGGCAGCCGCTCGAGCCGCTGCAGCCGCTGCTCCTGCTCCGGGCACCGCGTCATCTGTGCCAGCTGCTTCTGCGCCTCCTTGGCCCGAATCTGCAGGGAGCATGGGGAGTGGTCAGTGGTCAGCTGGCCCACAGCTCCCCCCCCCGCCACCAGGAACCAGAATACTCACCCGCTCCAGCAGGGCCTGGGACACCCCCTTCAGGGCGGCGGGTGGGGTGGCCTGCGGGCTGGCCGGCAGTGCTAGGCTGGGGGATCTGGGGCTGCCGGGCTCTCCTGTGCGCAGGGCCAGGTCACTCAAGGCCTTTTCCATCTGGGGCAGATCAGAGAGAAAAGGTCAAAAGAGACCTCCCCCAGCCCAGCCACAGGCCCATCTGCATGGACTCCCCTCCCAGGAGTCCCTATCTGTCCAACCCAAGCTCACCCAGTGCATCGGGGCCTGTGGGCATCACCCCAGGGCAGAGCCTGCCAGTGGGCGTCACATCCCGCTACCCCTGAAGCCCATGGTGGGGGATAGGGCCTGTCAGGTGCCCAGCTGCTGGGGGCCAGCCTCACCCTAGGCGACATCAGGCTGCGGGCACGGGCCAGCACCTCCTGGGCGGTGGCCAGCTTCTCCGTGGTGGGCGGCTGGGGCAGCTCCGCCGGCTCGATGTCAGGCACTTCGTCCACGTTGAAGCGGGGGTGCCAGCGCATGAGCTGGTCCTCGGGCACCGCCATAGGGGGGCTCAGGGAAGCCAGGAAGGCCTGTGCGAGAAACAGGGTTGCCAGTGACCCTGGGCACATTTGTTGGGGGGGGCGGGGCTGTCTGGGTGACCTCAGGAAGGTCACTTCACCTCTAGGGGCCCCAGGAGCTCAGCTGGGCTGAGGGCGTGACTTAAGAGCACCCACTGAACTCACCACGTGCCTCCCAAGACCTGAGGCTGCAGCCCCGAGCCCCCCGTCCCTCAACTGGGAGCCAGGGCCAGGGTCCCCGGCCAGCCCCTCACCCACTCATTTGTGAGATGGCCACGGAGACTGGTTAAGAGGACTCGAGGACTCGGCCTCTCGAGGGGGGCCCGTTCCCTGCTGGGTAAGAGAGGGCTGTGACGGGAGAGAGGGTGCAAGTACTGAAGGAGGGGACAGAGAGCAGGCCCAGTGCCAGGCTGCTCTGGGAGAACGCCTGGTACCACAGGGACCCAGCTGGTCATCCCACGGCTGCCCGCTCACCCTGTGGTGCTCCCGGACACGCTCCACCAGATTCTGGCTGAAGACCTGCCGCCGCTGCAGGAGGCGAGAGGCCGTGAGCTGGGGGGCCGTGCCTCCAGCCTCTGTGGGAAGAGTCCAGGCCTGAGCCCCGGGGCCAGGTCCGCCCAGTCACCCAGCAACAACCATGGTCTCAGATGAGGCCCAGCGCCCAACGCCTCACACCCATGCTCAAGACCACGCAGGGTCGGGGCCGGCCCCGTGGCCGAGTGGTTCAGTTTGCGCACTCCACTTCAGCGGCCCAGGGCTTCGCTGGTTCAGATCCTGGGCACGGACATGGCACCATTTATCAGGCCATGCTGAGGCGGCATCCCACATGCCACAACTAGAAGGAACCACAGCTGAAATATACAACTATGTACTGGGGGGATTTGGGGAGAAAGAGCAGGAAAAAAAAAAGAAAGAGCGCACAGGGTCACAGGTGGGGAACTGAGGCTCAGAGACGAGGAGACTCAGCCACAGCGCACAGCGCACTCACCCTGGTCCAGCAGCGGCTCGATGGTGAGCTGATAATCAGACTTCTTGACCCCGTCCCTGAAGGTGGGGACATCGCGTTCCTGGCGGAAGCGGTAGGAGGCAGGATACACAGTTTTGATCTGGCCCACGTTGCGCTCCTCAAAGCGCCTACGGGACGAGCGGGCCAGGGTCAGAGAACCGGGCAGGGCGCAGACTGCGCAGTCAGGCGAGCCGCCCCCCGACGAGCCCGCTCACTTGCGCATCATGTCCTGGACGCCCTGCTTGACCTTGGCGAAGGTTACAGTCTCAGAGCGGTTGTAGAGCATGCCCACGATGGTGTCCATGCTGCGGAACATCTCGGCCAACACCTGGTACTTGTAGGGCAGCACGAGGCCAGGGGGCCCAGGCTGGGCCAGGGCGTGGAAGCGCTGGTAGGCAGGCGCCTTCTCTCCACTGCTGGGGCGGGGCAGGGGGAGCCAGGCTTGAGAGGAGCACCAGACCCACCCCCACGACACACTGCAGTTTGCAAAGCCTGCACACTTACCACCTCCCCATCACAAGCACTGTCGGGGACAGAGTGCTTCAAGCCAGCCCTGCCATGTCCTGCCCATCACCCAGGGAGGTCCCTGGGCACCCCCAGCCCTGGCTTCCTTATCTCCAAGAGGCACATGGCGGCAAATCCCCAATAGCCACCGGCTGTGGATATCATTCGAAATTCACAAGGGCCCACTGAGGAACTGGCGTCCTCTTACAGATGGAGCTGGAGGGCGCATAGGCAGCGAGCGGCAGAGCTGGGAGCTGAGCTCTGTCCACTGCGCTGACTCCCTGTTAGGAGCAACCCCCCGCCCTCTGCCCAGTCCTGCCCCTGCCAGGCCTCCCATCAGCCTACACTTTCCCAGGGGCCCTGACCACCCACCCAGGACTCACCATGGCCCCACTGGGGGCCCCTCGGCCTCCGGTGCGCTGGGTTCTTCAGCATCCTTCCTCTGGGCACTTGTCCTCAGCTCCTGGACCCGTGTCCCCAGCTCCCGTGCCCGCCGCAGGCACGACTTGAGCTCAGAGAAGGTGACCTTCGAGGGGACCTGTGGACACAGGGTGCTGTCAGCCAGCTGGTCACCCCCATGCCACTCCACCTCCCTGGCCTTTGTCCAGCCTCCTCACCTTGCCCTCCTCGGATGCTAAGCAGGACGGCGGACCTGCCGAGGCGGCGGCCTTCTTTGTCTTCTTGCTGGGAGAAGAGTGCTCTGGGGAGTCATGGGCAGCCGGGGACCTGGGGCCAGACACCTGGTGGGAAGGACCCCCAAGGTGAAGGACCCGGGGGACTACAGGGTGCCCCCAGCGCTGCAGAAAGAGGCCTTCTGCTTCCCTCGGCTAACCAGAACACGCTGCTGGAGCCCGGGCTCGGCTCCCTGTCGGGCAGGGCTTTGCTGACGTCAGCGGGAGGGCCTGGCACACCCACTCGTTTGTTCTGGGGACAGTCGCCCACGCTGACCCCTGACCCAGCCTTGCCGACGAGCCGCATTCCCCGGCCCCTCCGGCATCGGTGAGACGCGCGGCTCCCTGGAAGTCCTCTCCAGCCGAGCCCCTGCGGGGGCCGACAGCACCGCCACCGGGTCCCATGACCCGGCCCCAGACCCTCCCCGGACTGTCTCCCCGCCCAGCCCGGCGCGGCCCTCCTGCCGGGGCCCCGTCACCGCCGCACCGCCCGGCCTCAGTCTCCCCGCCGGGCCCG